TTTCTGTGTGTGTGTGTGTGTGTGTGCATGTGAAGACACACATTTTGAATTCTCAAGTATCTACCTAGGAGTAGATTATTGGGTCATATGATAACTCTACTTTTTAACTCTTTGAGGAACTTCCAGACCATTTTCCAAAGTGACTACACCATTTTAATTCCCATTAGCAGGCATGAATTTTGGATCTACATCCTGCCAATACCTGTCATTATCTAGCTTTCAAACTACAACCGTCCTCATGAGCACAGAGTGGAGTATTGTTGTCCTGATCTGCATTCCCCTGATGGTTAAGGAGGTTGACCTGGTTGATGATGCTGAGCTGGTACACGCCTGCAATCCCGGCGACTTGGGAGGCTGAGGCAGGAGGATCGCAAGTTCAAAGCCAGCCTCAGCAATTCACTGAGACCCTGTCTCTAAATAAAATACAAAATCGGGCTGGGGATGTGGCTCAGTGGTCAAGTGCCCTTGAGTTCAATCCCTGGTGCCCCTACCCCCCAAAAAAGAAAGAAAAAAAAAGGCTGGGGATGTGACTTAGTAGTGAAGCACCCCTGGGCGAAATACCTGGTAGTAATAATAATGATGATGATGTTGAGTTTCTTTCCGTGCACTTTAGTGGCCATTTGTGCATCTGCTTTGGAGAAACAGCTATTTAGATATAACAGTGTTTTTAAAAATAAAACTCCTGTATGGCCCATGAGGATGCTCCATTTTGCTGGGACTTTCTAGCCCTCGAAGGAAAGCTCGTTGGACATGTTGGTACGAGGACCTGGTGTTTTTGTTTGCTTTGAGCTCCAGCACGCTAAGGTCAATAATGGGAGATTATTAATGCAGGGTAATTATTGCCTACATACCTTCTTCCTGCCAGCCGGGGAGAAGAAAATAGTGCACATGAGCAGTTTCTCTATCATCATCTGAGAGGCTCTTGGTCCCTAGTGGGAGAGGAGTGTCAGGGGTCCTGGGGCCCATCTCTTCCCTGGGCTCCCCAAACCACCACTCTTTTTTCCACCAAACCACAAGGGTCTGCAACTTCTCTCCTCGCACCACTTTGGGGAACCAGTCTCCGGGGCACCCTGGAGTCCCCGCCCCACTGGGTCTCAGCCATTCCTTCTCCTTGACTCTTTACACAGCAGGTGCTTTTGATTGACACTCTGACCCATGGGACCCTTGCTCTGTGTCTGTCCCTGGGGTCAATCCCACAGGCGAAAGGCAGTGAAATCCCACAGAGACGCCACGGCCATGATTGTGCCCAGACTGGGAAGGAGTGAAAATCAGAACAGGACCAGAAGCACGGAAATCAACCCGGACCAGGAAAACACAACAGCAGCCCTGCCGTTCCCCAAGCTGGGGACAGACAGGGAGGGACACGGCCAGCTGCAAAGCTAACAGGAAATGTGGTCCCTCCTGGCAGCTGTAGAATGCCATAATCACCCTCTCTCCGAGCAACTACTGGTCTTGCCAGTGCGGCCCCCAGAGCCACCGTGACTATCTCCACGCATTCCTGTGGCTCCCCAGTGGCTTGGCCACCTTTGTGGTTCCCAACCCCTAGTTAATCCCCGCAGCTCTGACTCTCCCTCCCAGGCCATCCAACCCGGAGCCGACCCTGCCTCTCTGGGAACCTCTGCAGCCTGCCTCAACGGACCCTGGAAGACACACTCCGGCCTCCCTCTTGGCCGTCCAGCAAGTCAACACATTAGACTTGAACTCCGATGCCCTTGGCTGATTGGACTTTAATAGCTGGTATGGCCTCTGTGGAGCCCTGCTCTCTTTGGCCGCTGGTGCATTTTGTCCATCCAGCTAAGATTTGATTGTGTCAGATCATGAACCCAGGGTTGCGATTGCTTAGGCTTGTCTTCCTGCAGCAGGTAGCAGGACAAAAATCACGCCTGTTGCTGGGTGCGGTGGCTCACACCTGTGATCCCAGCAGCTCAGGAGGCTGAGGCAGGAGGATCGTGAGTTCAAAGCCAGCCCCAGCAAAAAGCAAGGCACTAAGCAACTCAGTGAGACCCTGTCTCTAAATAAAATGCAAAATAGGACTGGGGATGTGGCTCAGTGGCTGAGAGTCCCTGAGTTCAATCCCTGGCACCCCCCCCTGCCCCCCCCCCCAAAAGAAAAATATTGCACCTGTGAGCTCCTTTCCCAATCTGGTCATTTCCATGATAGGGGTGGACCACTAAAAATGCTGGCATTTGACAGTTTTGTTGCCCACGCAGGATCGTAGACAATTGTCCAGCCCTGACATTGGACAGCACTTGGGTAAAGGGCCGATGATCAGCGTACACTGCAGAGCCACTCCCAAAGCCCTGCCAGGGATGGCGGTCACCTCACCCTGCCTCTGAATCCCTTCCCATTTGTCTCTGAGGAAGTATCTTCTCTCTTTGGGCCTCAGTCTGCCACTCAGCTATGCCCCTTCTTAAAAGGTGGAAAATCTGTGATTCTAAATTCAAACTACAGAATCATGTGGGGTTCCCAGAAGATTTGTTTCATGCTTTCTATGTTCCCGACACAAGGCTTAGCATTGTATACAAATTTTCCCACTTGGTCCTCATAACAAAGAGATTAAATGTTGTTTATTATTGTTATAGTTTAGTTGGACACGTCCCCAAAGGCTTGATCCACAGGGCACCAGTGTTCCGAGGGGGAAAGTCAACCTTTGCACTTTGCTGGAAAGCGACTGGATCCTGAGGGCTCTGCGCAACCAATGGGAGGTGCGGAAACCTAAGAGGTGGAAGCTCGTTGGAGGGAGAGATCTTTGGGAGTGTGTCCTTGGGGACTGTATCTTGTCCCTGGCCTCTCTCTGCTTTCTGGCTGCAAGGAGGTGAGCAGCTTTCTTCTGCCACAGTCTTCTGTCATAATGCTCTGCTCACCTCAGGCCCAGAGCAGTGCAGTCAACCAACTGTGGGCTGAAAACTCTGACACTGTGAACCAAAATCAATATTTCATTTTTTTCCTCAGGTATTTTGTTATAGCAATGAAAAGCTGACTAATACAATTACACTCATTTTTGATAAGGAAGGTGAAGCAGAGAGAGGTTAAGTGATTTGATGTGCAGCTAGCAAGTGACAACCTATGCATTTAATTGGCACAGCTCACTGCTTCCTTAAGTGTCACAGAGAAATCAAAAAGAAACCAAGGCATAGAGCCACATTAACCTCACTCCCCCACTGGCACCAAGGCCAAATTTGGGGGCCAACACAGGTGAGGCAAAGAACCTCACCCCCCCACTGGTGCATAGACCTATCCACAAGTATGGCTGTATGCTGGACCGGTAGTCAGTGACGGGTATGATCCAATTGCAGTGGTATCAACCTAAGACAGGAGGCTGACGCCTAAAGGTCAGTTTTCCGATGACGGGTAAGAACCATATGTTGAATTGGACAACCTACCAGGCACGGTCCTTAAGCCACATTGCTTGTTGTTTAATTAATCAGAAGGGGGGAGATGCTGGGAGCCATTAGCCAAGTAGGTATGACAATTTCCTTGCCAGCGTACCCCATGTTGCTTAGTGGAAGGACTCGTGGAAATAGGACATTTTGCAGTGACATTGCAGTTAGGTGACCTTGCTCAAGGACCAGGGCGGATCCGGGATTAGGGTGTTCCCGGTTTAGGATAATCGGGTTTAGGGCGTTCCAGGTTTAAGATTTTTCCTGCTGGGAATAGGGCGTATCCTGCTGCCTGAGTTCTCCTTGAGTTCTCACGGGATTCAGACAGTATTTTTTGGGAGATAGAAGCCCAGTGGAGGTGGATTTGGGCAGAGAACGTGGATTTCCCCAGAACGTGATTGTAGACGGCTGGTGTGAGTTCGGGAATAAAGAGTTGCTGTTTGAATCTACAAGCTGTGTGGTGGCTCGTGATTTGTGCCCAGCCAGACTGCGGCAGAGATGTGATTCCCTCATCCACACCACCAGAACCCAAGTGTCTTGGCTTCCTAGTCCAATACCCTCTCTCACCCTCTCACTTTTTCCAGAGTGGCCAGCGACATCCCTTCCAAACTGGTCTAGCCAGAACCTGGAGAGGATCTCCTTCCAAGAGCCTGACCCTTTAAAACAGACTGACCTGGACCTGCCCACTTGGGACTTGGAAGCCAAGGCAAGGCCAAGGAGGATGGGGGAGGGGCTCCCAGGTAAGATGCTCCTTTGTGGGAGGCTCTGGGGGACCAGGCCCACCCAGTCTGGCAGGCCATCTTCTCTTCAGCAGCTCAGCAGCCCAGAGGTTGCTAATCAAGGCCACAGACCAAATCCAGAGCATTGATAGGTTAGCTGTGACCTTTGGAGGTTTTTGTAGTTGTTGTTTTGGTAACTGTCTCTCTATTTATGGTACCAGGGATTGAATCCAGGGCTCTCAACCACTGAGCCACATCCCCAGCCCTTTTTGTATTTTATTTAGAGACAGGGTCTCACTGAGTTGCTCAGGGCTTTGCTAAGTTGCTGAAGCTGGCTTTGAACTCACGATCCTCCTGCCTCAGCTTCCTGAGCCACTGGGATTACAGGTGTGCGCCACTGTGCCTAGATGGAGTATTTGTTTTTGAGCATTTGAAAATCAGTAGTTGGCACTAGGATTTCATCTCACTCCTGTCAGAATGGCAATCATCAAGAATACAGGAAATAATAAATGTTGGCAAGGATGTGGGGGAAAAGGTACACTCACACACTGCTGGTGGGACTGCAAATTGGTGCAACCACTCTGGAAAGCAGTATGGAAATTCCTCAGAAAACTGGGAATGAAATCACCATTTGACCCAGCTATCCCACTCCTCGGTTTATACCCAAAGGACTTAAAATCAGCATACTACAGTGACACAGCCACATCAATGTTTATAGCAGCTCAATTCACAATAGCTAGACTATGGAACCAACCTTGGTGTCCCTCAATAGGTGAATGGATAAAGAAAATGTGGTACATATACTCAGCTTTAAAGAAGAGTGAAATTATGGCATTTGCCAGTAAATGGTAGGAGTTGGAGAATATCATGCTAAGCGAAATAAGCCAATCCCACAAAACCAAAGGCTGAATGTTCTCTTTAATATGCAGATGCTGATTCACAATAAGGTGGAAGCACTTAGATTAGGTAGAGGGACGTGATGGGAGGGAAGGGGAGGGGGTGTGGGGATAGGAAAGACAGTAGAATGACACAGACATTATTACTGTATGTACACATGTGACTACATGACCAATATGATTCTGCAACATGTACCCTCAGAAAATGAGGGTACATATCATATCCCATCTATGTATGATTCATCAAAGTGCACAAATGCATTCTACTGTCATGGATAACTAATCAAAACAAATTAAAAAGTTAATAAAATAAAAAAAAAGAAGAAAATCATTAGCTGGGTCTTCCAACGAAGCCCCAGAAACACCTGGTCCTTGCTCCTCAAGGCCTCAGCCGAGGTGGACACCACAGTCCCCATCCTCATTTACAAGGTCACTGGTGTAGGAGAGCCTTGCTGGCAGACCTGCCCTTCCCAGCAGGCCCTGGTGTGTCCAGCCCCCTGCACCCGTTCCCTGACGCACTGCCCTCATGCACCCTGGCCTCCAGGCCCCACCGAGGCAGCTCAAGTGCTTCCCACCTTGTCCCGGCTGGCCCCGTGGCCCAGGGAGCCTCCAGTCAATCACTGTTTTATAGAAGCAGCTGGGCCCCGGCCAGGGGAAGGGTTTTGCCCGCACTCACAGCAGGGTGATCTGTGAACTGTGTTTTATTGCGTTGTAAGTCACAGGAAATGAGCAGGGGAACAATTCAGCCATTGCAAAAAGTGTCTGGTGACGGCTCAGCTTTTGTCTAGTGGCCAGTGCTGTGGTTCCTTGGCCGAGGGGAAGGAGGGCAGACTCCATGGCTCCAGAGCCAGGCTCGGCCACTCCCTCTTTTCTTGGAGCGGTTTCCAGCCAGAACATTAGATTTGGCACTGTCTTCTGTCCTGGGAGCCTCAGGTCTTGTTCTTTTTGCAAACACTGTCACTTCCTAGGTAGCAGGGGCTGTCCTCCGTACAGAGTTCCAGGTGTGTATTTTGTCAGCTGTGTGGTCTCTCCCTAGCTGACAATATGGAGATTAGCTCTACACTCTTCTGGCTGTGTGACTTTAGATAAGTGGCCCAATCTCTCTGAGCCTCAGTTTCTTCATCTGGGAAATGGGGACAATAAGAATACCAACTTCGAGGGTTATGGTAAGAATCTAGTGAAACATTAGGTCAAGGGCATAACATAGTGCCTGGCACAAGTCTCTGCTGAATATAACATCAGCATGTGTTCCCCAGTGCTGGAATTAATCTAGAACAAAAGCCACATTACTAGTACCACGCCACCTTCCTGACAACTTGTTATACGGGGGAAAGGGAACATTTACAAAGGCTGTCACAGCCACCTCCATGGAGCCTTCACGGCTGGAGATCAGGCCAGAGGTGGTTGTCCCCCGTCTTGCAGGTTTGGAGGCAGCCACGGCCTCCTTCCCAGACCGTGCTCCACCTCCTGCATCCTGCCCAACACATGGGGGAGCTCAGCTGATGCTGAGGATTCAGAAAGCCCTGGAATGTCCCAGCTCCTGGGGACATGGTCATGAATGCCAATTCTTGCCATGCAGATGGCAAATTCACAAGGTTCTGGAAATAGCATCTGTTCGGATGCCCAGGTCTTCTTCTGTAGGTGTTTTGAGAGAAGATAAAAATAAAACTTTTCCATGTTTGGGGTTATTGCACCATTGGAGAGACTACAATCTGAACAACAATTTGTAGGAGGCAGTTTGGAAACACATATGGAGTAATTTTGAGATGCAGTTTTGGTGCATTCTGCACCCGGTGAACTCTCCTTAGGTGTGATAAAAGTTTTCCCTACCCCACTGTTTATGATACCAAAATTGTGACATAACCTAAATTGACAGTGCTAGGGGATTGGGTTAAATAAATGATCACTTAGCCATAGGGTAAGGTACTGTGTGGTCATTAGAATTGCAGATGCAGCTCGACTTGTTTCAGGGTGGAAATGTGTCCTTATATTATTGTGCAGTGGTGGGGGGAGGAGACAAGTTGCTGATGGCCTTAATAGCTGGTTGGTGTGTGTGTGTGTGTGTGTGTGTGTATGAACATACACCTAAGCACACGTATCTAGAAGGGTGATCAAATTGTTAATGTGGTTTTTGCTAGATTAAAAAAAAATTGATTTTTTTATCATCAAGTTTTAAATTTTGTCAATAATAAACACATAATTTTTTTTCCTGGGCTTTTGTTGTTGTTTTGGTACCAGAGATTGAACCCAGGGGTGCTTAACCACTGAACCACATCTCCAGTCCTTTAAAATTTTTTTTGTTTTGTTTTGAGACAGGGGTTCTCTAAGTTGCTTAGGGCCTTGCTCAGTTGCTGAGGCTGGTTTTGAACTTACAATCCTCCTGCCTCATCCTCCAGAGCTGCTGGGATTATGGGTGTACACCACCACGTTCAGCCACAAATATGTAATTTTTTCATAATTTTTTAAAAGAGAGAAGAAAGTGGGGTACAGGCCCAGGAGATATCAAGTTAGTGACAGCTGGGTCCCCAGGCACTGACCAGCTACGTTCTTACCTGTCCTTTCTCTTCCTCATCCCTCCACCCTGGGTGTCCCCACCTTTGCCCAAGCCTCAGGCACCTGAAGCCAGGTAGGGAATAGGGGCTTCTAAGAAGATCCCACAGAGTTCCAGGTCAGGTGATGCAGACTCTGTGCTGTCCCTGCTTCCCCTGCCACCAAACCCAGTGGTTTACAAAAAGAAAGAGTCCAGAGGCCAAACTGCCCCTTGGAGACCAGGCTGCTCCCCAGGAACAGGACAAGGCTCAGCTGCCCGTCTTCTCCCACTGGAGGAATGGGAAGGCGAGTCCTCGCTGCGCTCCAGCCCTTCCTATCCTCTCCCACCAAGAGCCCACAGGGCTTGTTAGGGAGACCCAAATGAAGTCACAGGCCAAAGTCCCAAAGAAGCCTGCTGGACGAAGAAGACAGCCTTAGTGGAGGCCCGGGTAAGGGAGGCCCATTCTGCACCTCGATCACCTGGGGAAGCGTTGCATCCTAACAACAGCAGGGCTGCTGACTTGTGAACACGGTCTACTGTAATGTCGACAATCACCCTCTTCAGTGCAGCGTTCTCTGTGATGCTGCAGAGATTTGGGTATACCCGTGTCTGCTGTTCGTGGTGCTCCTGGAAATGGATATTGCTTTTTAAACTTTCCCTCTGAAACTTGGTCAGGGTCTCAAGAAGGCCAGGACTGTCCCGGGCCTCCTGTCCTGACTTATATTTTTCTTAGGCCTGCAGAGGAGAGCCACGGTTGGGCACAGACTCCTCTCGTGGCAGGGGCTGCCAATGTCTCTAAAGGACACATTTACTATTAAACCTCTATCAACATTTCAGGTGGATCTTCTTACCTGCTCTTAAGGCAGGTAAGAAACACCATAATAGCGTGCAGACCTCTTAAGGCAGGGCAACGCTGCCCGTGTCCTTGTCACCCTTTGGAATTAAGTTTACTTGCTTGCTTTATAACCTCAGTTCTGAGGGTCTCAAAGAGAACTTTGTAGGTTATCAGGTTTTATTCATTATTAAGGTAGAGTGAGGGTTTTTTGTTTGTTTTGTTTTGTTTTTCTCAGTGCTGGGGGTGGACACACAGGTCCTTGTGCATGCTAGGTCCACGCTCAGCTGATGAGCCACATCCCCTGCCCTCAGGCAGGGTGTAGGTAACCTGCCATCAGGGTCCCAAGGCCCAGGCTGCCTGCCCAACACCTTGGAGCTACAGGAGGGGGGCCAAAGAGAGATTGGAGAAGGGAGAGGACCCCACAGGCTGAGGTCAGGGGCTCTGGGGCAAGTTCCCCTATCCCCAAGGTGATTGGATCCGTAATCCCTATTTAGGAAAACCCAATGATCCATCCCACCCCAGGAGGCACCCACGACACCATAATAGCCTGCATTTGCTGTCTCTCTATCTTGGTTCTTCCACAGAGAGGCAAGGCAAATAAATGCTTTCATTCTTCTCTTTCGGATGAACAGAGGGGCCCCGGGCCCTCCAAATGCTAGAGTCCTGAAGTTCCCAGGCAATGTCTCCTCCCCATACTGGGCTCCGTGGGCCTGGAGCTCCAGGGCAGTTCCTCAGGATGGCTTCTAGAATCTTCTTCCTCCATGCCCATGTTGCAGCTCTGCTTCTAGATGTTAAGCTTCCGCCAGAGATGCTAATTAGTGAGGGTTTCCAGTGCTTTAAAATATAAATTTCTGACCCACCACCCTTGCTCCTTGTCCCTACAATAGCAATGATCAGTGGTCACTGCCCAGAGGACTATGGGAAAAAAGGATTCTTAGGGGAATCTGGCTCGGGAGGGAAGAGCGCAGTGATGGACTGGCAATGTCTGCCTTGGGCACAAGATGGGAGACACATCAGCATAGGGTTTTCATGTGTTGTCCCTGCCCAGGCAATGGACCAGCACTGCTGTTAGAGCTGGGCTACGGGGGCACTTAGAAGGCCCCCATCCGCCCATACGACCTCTTATGGCAGAAATTGTACTGGGCCAAGGGACACTCCCATCCAGGGCCCATGTTCTCCATCTTAGCAGGCCCACAGAATTTCCTGCCTCAGCCATCCTGAGGCAGCCTCAGGGTCCTATGCCAGCACCTTCCAACGTCAGTCCCCTTGGGGTGTGACTGGGTCACCACATGCGTTCTCTGAGGCCCATGTGGCCACCATTTGCAAACAGGTAGCTCTCAAGGAGGGGTTGTCTGCTGAAGGATGTAAATGGCACTTGGCCATGAGGTCTGGGTTGTCCACAAACACGTTCAGTACTTGGAGGTGGGAAGAGAAGGGGCATGTGCTCTGGGAACAAGGGTCTCTCTACTCTTTGGATCAAGAGTTAGAGTGAAGTGTTAAGAAGGGAACTGTGTATGTGCAGAGAAACAGTGTGGTGACTGATTAGTGATGTCTGACACGGGCAGGGCGGGGTGAGGTGGGAAGGGCACTTTTAAATTGCATAGCGGGCTCACCTAGAATCCACTCCTGCCGGGACCCCTCCCAAGGAAAGAGTGTGCATCACCTTTCAAGGAAGCCGCCTCATGCAGGTTTGGAAAGCTCTGGCCATTTAAATACTTATCTCACTGTGGAGCCCCAAACCACCTCCCAGGCATCACCACCCTCTGAGTGGTGCTTTGCCCAGGGCTGCGCAGCTCCATCAGGTCCCCTCCCTGTCTCCACCCCCAGATCTTGCCACAGCCCAGCCTGAGAGCTGGCTTCACTGTCTCCTTCCTCCAAAACAGAGGAAAAAAGCACACACACACACACACACACACACCAGCACTTTTGGGGAGGTTAAAACAAATCACCAAGAGCAATGTTAATAAATACACGACACTGTGAAGACCTGACCTCCCAGGCCAGGGGCTCACACTTCCCAACCCAGGCCCAGCTGGCTCTCACAGGAATGTTCGGCGTGTGCCCAGCAGTCTATGGAGGGGACCCCCCAGAGCTTCTGTTCTCCAGGAGGTCCCAGGTCAGGGCCCAGTGCTCCCCTCCCACCAGCCGGGGAAGGCATGAACCCACAAGCACCTCTTCCCCTTGAAGGGTCTGAGAGAGACCCTCCAGCACCTTGGAGTGAGGACCCCCAGGAACAGCCTGAAAACCTGAGAGCCAAGGGGCCGAGGACTGGTACCTGCCCCTTGGAGGTGGCCAGGAGGCTGCTGACCTGACTGAGGCCCTATAGCACCAGGGGTCGATGTGTCCCCCCACCCCAGCATGGGACAGAGCTGGCATCCTGGTCTTGTCATCCCCAGAGCCTGGCTGGGTGGACTCTCTCCGCCTGGGAGCCCCTTGGAGCACCAGGCCTCTGGCTGAGCTCCAGTCAGGTGGGAGAGACCCCTGACTCCAGAGGAGTGGGCTCTGACGGAGGGACACGGCCTAGGAAATCCCGTCTCCTCCGTGTCCCAAGCCAGGCCCTCCAGACCCTGGAGTGAGGACTGAAGTCGCCGTTCCTGGTCTCGCCAGGGATCAAGCACCAGTTTGGAGACTCCTGATGAGGACGTGGGGTCAGGGTGCCCTGGGCCCTCTTCTCTGGACATCTGGGTATGCAATTGCAAGGCCAATTTGTAACCTGGAGTCACCATAAATAGAAGTGACATCCGCAGAGACACAGTGTGGCCACAAGTGCTGCTCTCCAGCTGGCAGAGGTGAGTGGCCTCTGCCTGGCCTCAGCCAGGGGAGCTGCAAGGGGAGCTGGACCTGAGACCAACGCACTTGTCGCCTGCCACCCTGCAGCAGGGAGCCTCCCCACCAGGCTCACCCTGGCCCCTTCCTCAGCCTGCCCTCGGAGGAGCCCCCCAACTTCCCTCGGCCCCACTCTGCCTTTCTGGGGCCTGCACGGGGGCCCCAGCAGCCCTAGGAAAGCAGAAGCCCTACAGCTCCCAGCATGGGCTTCGGTCCTGCCTGGGCCCAGGGCTGTGGGGAGGGACCGTTACCAACCCTCAGTCCTGGCGGGAGCAACCGCAGGAGGCCCTGAGAGGTCCCGTCTGGGCCCGGCTGGCTGAGGTATCCCACCCCCCAACGTGGGGGAAAGAGCCTCACGGCCCCAAACAAGAACCAAAAGGCAAATAACTTAAAAAAGGAAGCCTGCGCTTGCCCCTGTCCCTCAGGGTGTGTCCTCTGAGCTGGGGACACTGGGGCAGCACACAGAGTGTAAACATGACTGGCCGGAGGGGTGTGGCATGGCTCATGTCACCGGGGAGGTGGCAGGAAGGCCAGTGCCTGGATGCCTTGGTTCCTCCCTGGACTGTCCTGGGCCCTCAGAGGCTGGCACAGGTGGCTGGGTCCAGCCCCAAGGTGGTCCCTGAGGAGTGGTAGGGGAGGTGCCCCCAAATGCTCTAGGGCTCAGAGTCTGGGAGGCTGAGGAGCCCCTGTCCCGTGGTCCCGGGAGCTGGGTGGGTCGGCCTTGCTGATGGTCGTCCAACTCTCCCGGCCCCCTGGTGGGCTCCACAGCCTCCGGAGTGGCCTTGGGTTCTGGTAAGGAGGTCCCAGGAGTGGAGAACGGAGGAGGTGAGGCTGGGCTGGGGTCCGGGCTAGTGGCGGGGCCCGAGGCCTTCTTGGTGCAGGATTCGCAGCACAGGCGGTGGTAGCCAGGGATGGTGCAGTAGCGACCGAGCACTTCCAGGTGGCAGAAGATGGACCTGTCCCCCGCACAGGGCTCCACTGCATACACAGCACAAGGACCAAGGCCAGGGCGTGCCCGTCAGCCAGGTGACCCTGCCACAGGGCCCCACCTCCCGCTCACCCACACCTGCCTGCCCTCCAGCCCCTACCCTGCCAGACTCACTACAGGGCTTTTCCTAGAGGGGCCACCACCGGTCCCCAGACAGGACAGAGCCCTCCTTTGTGGGCTGAAATGGTGGTCTCAATGTGCACCCCCTGCACACAGCATGGGCCTCCCCTGGCGCTGGGTGCCCAGGTAAACCATCAGGCCCACCAGGAACTCTGAGCCCCTGCAGTGCTTTAACAGAACCCTCCAGGGACTCTGATGGGGGACCCGAGAGCCGTGCTCAGCGCAATTCATCGCAGGCCGTCCAGCGGAATTGAGGGGAGCCTCACAGACAGCCGTGCCTGCGCTCTTCCCAGAAAACCTGGGCACAGAGGCGCTTCCAACCTGTAGCAGAGAGTGAGAGCCCCGTTCTGGATGGAAGTGGGACTCCCCACCCCCGACTCTCAGTCAACCCAGAGGACTCCGACCCCTTCAGGCGCTGCCAGGCTAATGTCCAGGGATCTCACACCTGGAACAAGCAGATGGACATTCGGCCACATCCGGGACAGCTGGGTCATTAAGCTCTCTACCACTGACTCTGGAGTGAGGCAAATCAAGGCTCAAATCCAGGCTCTGCCACTTAACAGCGGTGAAACCTTGGGGAAAATCCCTTAAATTCCCCAAGCCTGGTTTCTCCACCTGTAAAATGGGGATCGAGCTGCCACGTCCCAGTGAATGACAACACTGCATTATAATAAACACCTGGCACCGAGGAGCGCTCCCCGTCCTAATTTGCTTTGCTTTAAATGCATCTCGAATGTTTCTGTGATTAATCCAGGTAGGTGTCTCTAGGCGGAACAGGAAGACAAGAGCAGAGAGGGCTACTAATTTCGGCCAGAGAACACCGTGGGTGGTGGGTAGGCTACGGGAACAGATCACAGAAAACGGAAACCCAGTAGCCTCTAGATGGCGCCCAAGTTCCAGGACCTTCCTCTTCGCTTTTGGGAAGAGGAAGGAACCCTAGGAAATTGCCCAGCTTGAGCCTGAGCATAGGAGCACAGAAACAGAGAAGTTCAGGGATTTCCCAAGGTCACACAGCTATCTGATCCTCTTACTAGGAGCTGAGGTCTGATGTTTCTGCCACTCACTTTGTCAGACCCTGGATCTTGGGAGAGAAAAAGAGAGAAAACCTAAGAAGGGAGCAAAAAACATAAATCCTGCCATATAGCAGGTGCTCAGCAAATCTTTCTTCATGGAGGAATGAATGGAGAGATGGGAGATGAACTGACAGGCTCCTGGACATGAAGCAGAAAGAAACTGCTATTCCTATTCTGTTGGCCAACAGCTGGGTGGGGGGCGTTCCTTCATTTAATTTTTTCAAGAGCCCTACAAAGGGGTGACCTATAGTTGCTCATCCAAAAATCTTGGATCCAGCTGATTCGGAATTGGGACTTGGGCAAGGGGGGGGGTAGTCAGAAAATTAGTCCTCTGTGTATTCATATTATAGAACATCCTCAATAGACTGATAGATATCCCCTTGTAACCAAATATAGCAAAGTTTCAATAGCAAAAGACTAAGTCACCTCATTAGGTCTGGTCTGATTTTGCAACAAAAGGAGTTTGCACAAAACTCAGGATAAAAACTTTTCTAAGTTTCTTTGTGTGTGTGTTGTACTGGGGATTGAACTCAGGAGTGCTTACCCACTGAGCCACATCCCCAGTGCTTTTTTGTACTTTATCTAGAGACAGGGTCTCACTGAATTGCTTAGGGCCTCACTAAGTTGCTGGGGCTGGCTTTGAACTCATGACCCTCCTGCCTCAGCTTCCCGAGCCCCTGGGATTGCAGGCGTGTGCCCAGCTTTTCCTAAGCATTTTGGAACCCCAGATAAGAGGTTATGGACCAGTACAGGACCATCCCACTTCCCAGCTGCAGACTTGGAGGCTCAAGAAGCTGAGGCCACACAGACAGATGTCAGGCTGGGTCTGCTTTACTACTTGGCCCATGCTTGGATGCCTGGGCCCCCTGAAAGGTTTGGGGAGTGAGGGAGGAGTCCATTCAGTCACCTACCTGATGCTATCCTGTTCGTGGGAGGTGACGGCCCTGACTGTGGTGCCCACTGCCCCTCTGGAGTCACAGGCTCCTTGGCCTTCACTGTGGAGTTCTGGAGGTTTCCTGGGAGCAAGGAGAAGCAGCTCTAGTACAGGTGAGCACCCCCTATCCAAAATGCTAGAGACCAGAAATAGTTCACAGTGTAGATGATTTCAGATTCCGCAATATTTTCATGCACATAATGAAATACATTGGTGAAGACACAAGTCTAAACACGAGGTTCACTTGTTCCTTGTACACATGGTGAGAGGGTAACTTTACACAATATTTTTCAGATAATTTGGGGAATGAAAGTTTGTGTATCACATTCCCCTTGAGGATGCTATGTTCTACATAGGAATTTTTTATTTGTATGTTTGTTTATTTTTGCAGCACTGAGGATTGAGCCCAGGGGTACTCCATCACTGAGCTACATCCACAGCTCCCCAGCCCTTTTAACTTTTATTTGAGACAGGGTCTCACCGAGTTTCCCAGGCTGGCCTCAGACGTGGTTGTTTTGTTTGTTTGGTTGGTTTTTATCTTTATTTTGTTTATTTATTTTTATGTGGTGCTGAGGATTGAACCCAGGGCCTCGCACATGCTAGGTGAGCGCTCTACCGCTGAGCCACAACCCCAGCCCTGAACTTGGTTGTTTTTTGTTTGTTTGGTCCAGGGATTGAACCCATGGGCACCTAACCATGGAGCCACATCCTTAACCCCCTTTAAAAATATTTATTTATTTTGAGGCTGGATCTTGCTAAATTGCTTATAGCCTCACTAAGTTGCTGAGGCTGGCCCTGAATTTTTGATCCTCCTGCCTCAGCCCCCTCAGTGGCTGGGGTTATAGGTGTATACCACCGCGCCAGGCTGTGCATCTGAGTTTTGACCACGGCTTGCCCCATGAGGTCAGATATGGACTTTTCTCCTGTGGCATCATGCCAGCACTCAAAACGTTTTGGATTTTAGAGCACTTTGGATTTCATATTTTTGGATTAGGGATGCTTAGCCTATATCTGGGATTCCTAAGGGCCACAATCCAAGGCAGGTCTGGGTGCAAGGTCAAGGCCTTGCTGGGCCAGGCCTCCCCATCCCCGGCTCACCTCCACAGGCTGGCAGGCTGCAGACCTGGACAGTGTCTGGCTTGTCCCCCTCACACTGGCCAAGGCTGTTGGTGTTGGTCCTGCACACCACCTGCCGCTGCTGGATGCCCTCTCCGCAGGTGGCCGAGCACTGCCAGGAAAGGGCAGGGGCCAGGACAGCGCCAGGCAGGACAGGTGGAAGGAGAGACAGAGGGTGGACCAGTGAGCTCAGAATCCAGCTAAAGCCCAAGGACAGAAAGGTACAAAGGAGGGTGCCACGCCTTCACCTGACCAAAGGGACTTGCAAGGACTGCTTCTAAGGAGCCTCACCTGGCCACCACACCATTGTCAGATTGTCCTTAATCAGTGATGAAGACCAACTGAGCCGAGCTTGGGACTCCAAAGACCCTCCCACAATCTCCATGGTAAATTCTCAGCTCGGGAGGGGACTTCTGGGACCCCCTTCCAGCTACTACCACCTGTGTTAATTGAGCCTGGTCTATGCTCCTCCTGGTCGTCGTCGTCATCCTCCTCCTCCTCCTCCTCCTTCTTCGTTTTTTAATATGTTTAGTTGTAGTTGGATACAATACCTTTATTTTATTTATTTATTTTTATGTGGTGCTGGGGATCGAACCCAGTGCCTCACACGGGCCAGGAAAGCGCTCCACCCCTGAGCCCCAGCCCCAGCCCTGTGCCTGGGTTCTTAAATATTTTGTGTATCCCCCTAGCAAGCTCCCCTGCAGCCCACCCCATGGAGTGACCTAGGCAGGATGATTTACTCGATGGCACCTTGTTAAGGACACACAGGAGCCTTAACTAGCAGCCTCATTAGTTCAGTTCCCAACTCTGTCAATCAAGAGACCTAAAGGACAGGATCTCTCTGGCCCCTTCTAGCTCTGACATGCCATGATCTTGTGACTCAGTTTACCCCACTTGTAGAGGTCTGCCCAATGTCTCCTTCCCTGTCAGGGACAGGCATGAGTGCCAGGAGCAGAGGTAACAGGTATCAGGGGCTCGGGCTGTCACACACGCCACCTCCGGGTCGGACATACTTCCTACTCTGATAAATGGGTCACGGGGTGGGGGGGTGGGATTCTGGGGTGGAGAGGCAGGCCCCCAGGGAACAAGGCTGCCCAATCAGGTCACATTTTAGGCACTGACCACATCCTCCTAGAGCAGGACACGGGAGAGCCTGCAGAGCTTACTTCTCATCCTGGAGCATGTGACCACTGGGTGAGACACAAGGGTCCCCGGGCCACAGACAGCCACGGGACGACCATGGCTCCTCCCCCCAGGATGAATAATGACCAAGAGCAGCCTCCAGACCTGAGTGTTTACCAGGCTCACCATCCGTTTTCTCTCTGAGGCCTTGGAGGACTAGCAATCTTTATTTTATATCAAAATGAATGAAGCTATATGTTATGGAGATAAATATAAAATCTACACAAGTAGGGATTTTTGTCTTTTATTTACTTTTGCTTTTTTATTTGTATTGGTACTGGGGCTGGCACTCAGAGGCCCTTACATGCTGGGCAAGTACTCTTCCACTGAGCTGCACCCGAGCCCTGGGTAGGGGGGTTGGACTCTCTTTTTCTTTAGGTACCGGGGATTGAAACTAGGGGGCTTAACCACTGTGCTATATTCTCAGCCCTTTTTATATTTTACTTAGAGACAGGGTCTTGCTGAATTGCTTAGGGTTTTGCTAAGTTACTGAGGCTGCCTCTGAACTCGTCATCCTCCTGCCTCAGCCTCCTGAGCCTCTGGGATTACAGGTGTGCACCACCACGCCTGGTGGGATTAGACTCTTTAAGAAGACCCGGTTAATACTCTTTCACGTAGGCCCTCCCTGACCACCCTCTGTCCTTGTCCTGGGTCACATTCCCTGTCACCCTGCACAGCTCCACCTGGATCTGTACTCTCGACCTTTGTCTACTCTGTCCCCCATCTGGACGGTGAGCTCCAGGAGGGCGAGGATCTTGCCTGGTGCTCTGTTCCCGGCATTCCTGTACAATGCCAGCATGCAGCTGGCGCTCAGCATGTAAGAATGTGCGTTCATCTGCTCATCTGGGGCTTGGGGACACGGACCCGTGCCTCCTGATGCTGTGTGAGCCTTAAAGGAAAGGGACACGCCCCACACGCGTGCCTGTGTTCGGGAGCCGTTCCATTTTGTTTTGAGAAAAACAGCATTAGATGCGAGGAGAGGTGTGGACGGGAGCTCTCTGCCTCCTGGGAGCCCCAGGAAGGCCCTTGAGCCTCTCCACTCAGGCTCCTCCCTTCCCAACCACAGCCAGCCTCCTGAGGCCAACTCACCTGGGACCAGGCTCCTGTCCGCCACTGGGCTGGGCAGGGCACGCGAAGGCAGGGCCTCCGGGCCTCAGGACGGTCACCAGGGCACACCTTGGCTGGCAGGGCTTTGCGAGTGCCATTGGAGAGGGGCAGCAAGCAGTGCACCTCCCGGGTCTGCACCCCCAGCTTCCCACAGCTCCGGCTGCAGGCACTCCACTCGTCGGTCACCCACCTGAGAGGGGGCAAGAGGCAGAGGGAAGGGGACCAAGAGAATGCTTCCCTCCAGGTGTCACCTCCACCCCAAGAAGGCCACACGGAAGGGGTGCAGGGTGGGTTTGAGCTTCAGAACGCTTGGGGCCAAGATGACCCTCCACCTGCTCTGCAGCTGCCTGGCTGGGTGACCTCAGGGAGGCCACTATTCTCCACCGCTCTGTCTCCTCATTGGCAAAACCAGAAAGAGGCATGTTTAAATTCTGCATCCCGCATGTCCTGGGGTCAGCTGTTAAGGCCACTAAGCCTCAGTGACACCCCATCTTTACATCAGGATATTTCAAAATCCCATAAATATTCGAGGCACCGTTCTGGGTCCTGAGACAGAGTAGTGCTCAAAACAGACCAAAGACATACTTCCACACAAGAGCAAGTGTGTAGTATGGTCATCACCACCCTCAGGGGGACAGCACCCGCAACTCCACGGGTGGTCTGCACATCTCTGAGCAGCAAAGCAACTTCCACCAGCATCTCAAGTGGCCATGGCCATCATCGGAGGAGACCGCTGGGTGGGGGTGTGGGAGGGGCAGCCCCGACACCTTCTCCCCTGAGTTTCCTGAGGTTTCTTTTAGTCAACTAGAGCTCTTTGAAGCACATATTCAAACTCAACCCCTTTCTTTAAAAAAAAAAAAAAAAAAAAAAGAACTCAAGATTTGGGGGTAGGGGACAGCCCACCCAGGACCCCAGGCTGGTTCACCCTGCATGCAGGCCCTGTGAGCACCACATTTGTGGGACAGTGATCTGAGTGACAGTGTAAAGGGACAAGTGGAAGGGAAGCACAGGGGCTGGTGATGAGGCTGTCCCTGGCACAGGACAGCTACAGCAGACTCTAGTGCCAGCCACCCAGCTCCTGCCCTGGCCCCTGATGGCATGTCCAGCCCAAGGTACAGGAGTGGCTCTAGTGTGGAGCCTCGGCCAGCACTCCTGCCCTGCCCCAGTCGTCCCGGGGGGCGGAGAGGAGAACGATGGACAAGGCCCTCTGTACCTCCCTATGGGCAGCTGCCCTTGGCCCTGTGTGGAGGCACAAGGGACGCCAGGTGGAGCTGAGGAGGTCCTGAGGCTTGATCCAAGGTCTGAGCCTGAGTCCTCCAAAAACCACTGCACTAACCTCTCCCTGAAGGTCCCTCCGAATAGCCCCAAGGACATGACCTTGTGCTCAGAAGAGCGTGTGCCCTCAGGCTAGGGAATCTTAATCAGGCTAGGCCATGTTGGGGCTGGCAGGCCAGGTCCCTAGACTCCTGATGACCAGACTGAGGAGATGGTGAACACTACCGTGACCAGAGCCAGGGGTCTGGAGGCACTGAAAACTTGTCACTGAGGGGAAGTCAGTGATTCTGAAAGCCCAGAGTGCATGGCCAGGCACAGAGGGGCAGAACCTGCTGCACGGGCTGTTCTCTCCCTGGGAGACCTGGCCACAGGCTGTCCCCAGGAGGCAGTGCAAGGCCAGGCTCCCAGAGTCCCTGAGCACTCACACAGGCTGAGAGCACGGGTGCTGGTTGCAGCGCCTGCGGATGGGCTTGGGTCGCTTCCTGTGGTCACACAGGTGTCTCTGCACCATGTGGTGATCGCGTCTTCGCCGGCATCCATATTTGGTGAACTGGATGCCTGTGGAGGGCAGGCTGCTGTGAGTCTGCTCCAGGCTCCCACTGGCCTGTCCAAGTCCTCAGGAGGGAACCTTCTGGAGATGCTGGAGACTCCTCCTACCTCCCTCTGGGCCCCACAGCCCCTCCGGCCTGAGCAGCTTTCTGCAGAATACCCTCCTTGATGGGTCTCCCACACTCCCAAGAAGGGCTGCTGGGGAAGTGGCTTTGGATGCCACCTGTCCCGCTGAGGAGAAGCTCTTGCAGGCAGGGTCCCCGGCCTGCAGACTGTTCCAGCAGCCCCTGGTCCCCGCCCCAAAGCCCTACCCAGAATGTTTCCACACACTGGAGATCTTTAAGGAGAAACTGAGGCATGAGGAGGGACGGTCAACGTCCAGTGGAAACATCACCCCCACGCTCTGCCTCCCCACTCCTCCCCACCGAGGCCGGGCTGCTCCCACAAGGAGCTGGAGGGTCAGGGGGTTGGTACCTCCTCCGCAGGCCTTGGTGCAGGGTGCCCAGCTCTTGAGCGCCCACTCATAGGTGTCCGTCTCCTCTAGAAGCACATTGTTGCTCCCGATGAGTGGCAGCAGGTCCTCGTGGATGACATACTTGTAGGCTAGGCTGCCGTGGGGGCCACCCTCAGTGGGGGGCAGTACCTAAAGGGAGACGAGAAGGAGGAGGTGGCACAGAACCAGAGAGAGAGGCAGGGCTGATAGAGGGGGTGAAGGGGCCAAAGAGAAGGACAGGGTCAGGATTGGGAGGGGTCGGCTCTGGGACTGGCAGGCGGGCAGGATTCACACCAGCAGCCAAGTGACAAACTTCTGCCCCCAAATTAAGCACCTACAGTGTGTCTTGGCCCTAGAGCAGCCCATGCTAGGCTCTGCGTGCTTTTCCTTCCCTGGGTTCTAGAGGGCAGGACCTGCTCCCTGACTGACCCCAGAAGATGGCCAGCCGATGCCAAATCCTTATCAAATAATGGATTGCAAATGCTTTCTCCCATTTCGTGGCCGGTCTTTTCCTTTCTTGACAGGACTCTTTGATGCACATAGTGTTTAATTTTTTGGAGGGGGTAGGTACTGGGGATTGAACTCAAGGCACTTGACCACTGAGCCACATTCCCAGTCCTATTTTGTATTTTATTTAGAGACAGGGTCTCGCCGAGTTGCTTAGGGCCTCGCCATTGCTGAGGCTGGCTTTGAACTCTCAGTCCTCCTGTCTCAGCCTCCCTAGCCACAGGGATTACAGGCATGCACCACTGTGCCCAGCTATAAGCTATAAGTGTTTAATTTTGATGAAGTCTAATTCATCTAGGTCTTCTTTTGTGGTTTATGCTTTTGACATCGAGGAGGACCCAAGGTCATGGAGATTTACCCCTCTGCTTTCTTCTAAGAGCTGTCTGGTTTCGGCCTCACATTTCAGTCTTTGATCTATTTGGATCTATTTTGAGCTAATAGCTGCCCGAGGGGTGAGGTGGAGGTACAACTCTGTTCTTCAGCATGTGAATGTCCAGTGGTCTCACCACCATTTATTGAAGAGACTATTTTTTTTTTCTCCTTGAACGGCCTTTGTGCCCTTGAAAACCAGCTGGCCATAGATCAATGGCTGGTCCATAAAAACAAATTGAATAGAAAAGTACTGTGTTGGGTGGAATCACCATGCCGACACTGACACCGGCCGAGCCTGCCCTCCAGGCTTCCCTGACAGGAGGGGGCCGCACAGGAAGAAGCCTACCCAGGGTCTCCCCGCCACCCAAGGTTTCTCCCCAAAACCCAAGGGCACGTGGTCACAGGTCTTATGGGCCAATCTGCTGGCCTAACAATGCCTGGTCCACAAGCCCTGGCCCAGGTCTAGGAAGGACGTGTGGGCAGAGAAGGGCCCCATCCAGGACAATGGCCATGTCCCCCTTTTTTTTAATATTTATTTTTTAGTTTTTTTTTTTTTTTAGGTGGACACAATATCTTTATTTTACATTTATGTGGCCCTGAGGATGGAACCCAGTGCCTCATGAATGTTAGGTGAGCGCTCTACCACTGAGCCACAAATCCCAGCCCCCATGTCCCCTTTTTAGGAGGCCAACACTGCCAGATAGCACCCCCTGGTCAGCTGCCTTCAAGTCCTGAGAAAGCGATGTCAGGACTCACAAACTGACCATGCCATGACGCACGCTGACTCTCAATGAAGCCAGGTGACCTGGGAGCCAGCCCTGGCCTCACCACACGCCTCTGACCAGAACCCTTTCCAATATTGCTATAAAAAACAGACTTCCTGCGTGTGACCTCCTGGGGTGTGACATTGAGGGGACAACCATTTCCTTTTCCCTCCTCACTTGTCATCCTGCCAGCTTGTGTGTGAGTGTGTTCACGTACGTGCTCTCCCACTCCACTACACCCTCAGCTCTATTTATCTTTTGAGAGTTAGAGGTGGAGGCTGGCCTTTAACTTAGGATCCTCCTGCCTCAGCCTCCTGAGAAGCTGGGATTACAGGGATACCCCACTGGGCCCCACTCACCCTGACAGCTTTTAAGCACAAATGAGGACCTGTCCCCAGAGGGTGCCATGGCCTCCTGCAGACACAGGAGTGGGCGCTTTCCTCTGGACTGGTGGAGTGGAGACGGTGAGGGGGTACAAGGAGTGGGCAGGGGCCACCTCAGGGAGCGGGGCTCACCAGGACAGCGATGGCTTCAGGCAGAGGCCCACTGGTCTTGAGGCTGTCTTTGGCGTCCTCCACCGTGTGCTCCCACTCCAGGCCCAGCGCGGTGAAGGTCCGGCCTGTGGCCTCCTTGCCCTTGGGGTTGAGGATGAAGCTGCCCGTGACCTGGTTCTTCACCACTGGCCGGGGGAGAGGGTCACACAGATTTCTATCCCCTGCTACGGGGGCCAGTGCATATGCCAGTCAAGGCCTTCCCATGGGGCCCTCAGGGCTCCTGTCCAGCTGCCCCGCCTCCCACCTGAGCCCTCTGTACACAGGTCAACCCAGTGTCCCCCTGCACGCGCTGTCCCTGCCTCTGGACCCTGCTGCACCACGGCTCCCCTTCGCTGCCTTCCCTGCATCCTGACTCACCTCTACCCACCACTAAGGCCCAGCATAACCCCCTCCTCAGATAGCCCAGCTCAGGGACGCTGCCCTCTCTGAAGCTTCTGTAGCAGAGCAGAGGCTGAGCCCAGGTTCTGGAGTCAGACTGACCAGGGGGAAGTTATGCTGCATGCCCGAATGCTGCCTCCGTCTCTCCACCTGTAAGATGGGACTGGTGATCGTCCTCAGTCCACAGGGCTGCTATGCCAGGCGGATACTAGCATACCCCACCCAGGGGCTGGGGGCTTCACAGGCTGTTGGTTATCACAGACGCCTCGCCCTTCCCAGCAGACTGAAGGCACAGCGCCAGCTCCCGCCCAGCACAGGGCCACAGGGAGCAGGAGGTTTGAGAATATCCATGAATTTCTATCCCTATATGTCCCAGTCCGTGAGGAACTGGCAACTTGTTACTAAAGAGGGTGAGTGGCAGGTGGGCGGAGTCGTGCCCAAGCAGAGGCCCGGCCAAGGCCGTGGGTGTTCCCTTGGCTACCCTAGAAGCAACCAAGGTAGAGGAAGGGTGGAAACATGGGACCCCAGCCCCTTAGCCAAAGAGTGAGAGGGGAAGCAAAGGATTGGCACCCTGGGGTGTCCGGAGGGAGGCCCTTCAGAGCCCCACCATCTAGATTAAAATGAGGGTAATCAAGCCAGGCACGGTGGCACATGCCCCAGTGGCTCCCGAGGCTGAGGCAGGAGGATCGTGAGTTCAAAGCCAGCCTCAGCAAGCAACTCAGTGAGACCCTGTCTCTAAATAAAATACAAAATAGGGCTGGGGTGTGGATCAGAGTTAAGCACCCCTGGGTTCAATCCCAGTACCAAAAAAAAAAAAGTGAGTAGTTGCAACCTAAGAGCTAACCACGAGCCGGTCATTCTGTTAGCTCTTGAGTGACCCCTTGCTGACATCCTAAGGGCCAGGCTACTACAATAAAGACAGGGGGTCTGAGGCTTCCTGCGGGCGGGGGTCTGCCCTGGCTGGAGGGAAGGCAGCAACCATAGGGAAGGGGGAGGGGAGCAGAGTGTCCCTTTCCTGGGAGCTGCCCCTCACCTCCTTCCCTCCAGGGCCTCTTCCACAGCTACCCAGTCCCTCCACCCTCAGACTGCCTACCCTAGTGCTAGGCAGCACCTTGGGCCAGGTTTCTGCAGCTCATGGCCACCGTCACAAACACTTGGCTGTATGTCCCTCATTCCAGGGGTGAGGTTGGGCCAGTGTGACTCTACACCCAGACTCAACTGTGCCCTGAGCCTCTTGTCACCACAGGCCACTACCTAACTTTTCTGAGCCTATTTCCTCAACTGCAAAAATGGGGTCACGGTTTCCTTCATAGACTGTCATGCGGCTCACATAAGATAATGGAAGAAAGAGGGTTCAAGTTTGGACAGAGCCCTGGCCTTTACTGCAGTGGCTACCAGAAGTCCTGGGCTTCTGCAGAGAGCACAGACCCTGCAGGCAATGTGCATACACACGCACACACACGCACACACACGCACACACACATACGCACACATGCGTCTACTCTCAGTTGTGTACCTACCGAGGGCCACCATGGACCTACACCACGACACAAATGGATCTCAGCCCTAAGGTTGCCCTGCTCCCTCTCCGTCCAGGATCCCAGAATGTTCTCACCTTCGCCTGGTCCCATGAGAACAGCTCAGCCACATGGACTGTTCCCCACCCGTGGGGATCAAGGACCTAGACTTCTGGAGGGTACAGGGGCTGACTGCTAATGCAGTCTCATCTGCAGGGAGGCAGGAGAGGCGTCTGGGGAAAACGTGCCTCCCCCCTGCCCCCGACCCAACACCATCCCCACATCCTGAAGATCTCTGAAGTGTCCCCAGGCTCATGCTACAGCACAGACCCAGACTGGCCCTGTCCCCACCCCCCAGGCTAACTAGAGCACACAGAGGGCCTGAGCGTCCATTCGTGCCTACGGCCTGTATGAACTGCATCCTTCCTGGGGCCTCCCAGAGCAGGTAAGGCAGACATCTTCTCCAGGGGATACGAGTTCTCCAGGAAGCTTCTTAAAATTTTTATAGCATTATATTAACAATAATCTAAAAATCTGGTTGTTGGCATTTTCATGATATTTGTGCTCACCAAGAAATGTCACGTTTCGTGTTAGTGTTTATGATGGAGAAGGTGCCAACCAGTGCGACCTGGGGGGCATAATAGGACAGAGGAGCCTCTGTGACAAACCAAGGTGACACTGCAGTGCTTGGGCCCTCTGTGAGGACTCTGAACGCAGGCGTGTGTTCAGAGGATAGCCCACCTGCTACCTGCTGCTGGTGGCCCCCAGGCCCTGCTCAAACCGTGGAGCACCACGTCTGCATCTCGGGTAGAGTTCACAGTGGCACAGTCCACCCTGGGAAGTGTGCAATTCAGTGACGCTTTAGAACATTCACCACACCACTGTGTGTCAGGGTTTAGGTGTGGTGACCCCCAAGCGCTCACACGTGAGACAACAAGAAGGTTTGGAGGAGAAATGACTGGGTTACAGCTTTAACCTCATCAGTCAATCCCTGCAGTGGCAGGGGGTGGCTGCAGGAGATGGGAACTGGGGCGTGGCTTTGGGGTATATATTTGTATCTGGCAAGTGGAGTCTCTCTCTGCTCTCTGATCATGATGTGAGCTGCTTCGCTCTGCCACACTCTTCCACCATGATGGTCAGCCTCCCCTTGAACCCCAAAGAGCTGGCGGAGCCAGGCTTCAGACTAAGAACTCTGAAACCGAAAGCCCTCAAATAAACTTTTCCTCCTCTCCAGTTGTGCTGGTCAGATCCTTTAGTCACAGCCATTGCAATTCCAGAACATTTTCATCACCCCCCAAAAGAAACCCAATACCCATTAGTTATTACCCATTTCCTCCCCGCGGGCCCTGGCCACCACAAATCTATTTTACATGGATGTGGATACGCTTATTTATTATTTTACTTTTGGTTCATGTGTCGTTGGGGATGGAACCCAGGGCCTTGCACACGCTAAGCACATACTTTTTACTACTGAGCTACACGCCCCCACCCCAAGGCCTGCATGCACTTATTTTTCTGACTGCCAATTTGGTTTCATCAAAACTAAAACAAAATAAATCAACAAAAATATCTCTTACATTATGTTAATATTCTTAGTTTGAATTATTTTAACTAATTTGAATCTTTTGATTTCTTTCAGGGTTCTAATTTTTAATCTGTCCTGGCTTCATAGCCCTGTGACCGTGACAAGCGTGGAGGGTAGACACCTCACATAGTGACTGTGTTTAAGTATCGTTATAACAGGAGTAACTTAAGGGTCCCCAGGGTGGAAGGCAGAAATGCTACAAGTTCCCCCTATTCCTACAGGCAAGGCCCCCCAGTACTGTGACTTGACCATTTCTCCCAGGCACAATCTGATTTTCTTCCCTTTGATCCTGAGCTTGGCTGTGTGACTTGGACCAAAGGGACATTGGAAAATTAGGGACTTAATAAGTACTTGCACCTTGAGGTTTGCCTTCTCTTGCTACTGCTGAGGACCACATGACAGACACGCTGTGAATAATCCCAGTTAGCTGTTGTCACATATGGCCCTGTCACCCTTATGACCCCAGCTGAGAACCAGCACCAACCTCACACGTCCTAGACCAAGTAGTCCCCAACTGACCTACCAGCTGACAGGATTTGCAAAGGTCCATCTAAGCAGCAGCAGAACCACCCAGCTGAGCCCAGCCCTGAGACTGACTCATAGAACTGTGAGCTCAGAAATGACTGTTGTTTGGAGCTACTGTTTTGAGGGCTGTCTGTTATGCAGCAAAAGCTGACGGATACACTCTGTGAAAATGGTTTTCCTTTAAAAGCCATCCACATGGACAAGAAGTTTTAACAGTGGTTTCCCCTGAGGGAAAAACAATCCCTGTGTGACAGGGGTGCAAGAGGGGGGGACTCTTAACTAGATTTCCTTGTAGAACTTCTGAAATTTGAACCATGGGACAAGTCACCCACTCAGCATATGTTTAGAAATAAAATAAAAGGGATGCTCTGTCCATCATTCAAGTCTGTGGATGTCCACCTGTCCTCTGTTCTCCCAGAATTCCTGGACCTGCGGGCAGGGCCTGGGGCCTGCCACCTCTCCCAGGACCCAGCACTCACCAATGCGGTGGGGGGCCTTCTCCAGCGCCTCGATCTGGATGTGCCTGGCACCTGCCGGGATCTGCACCAGTTTGACAGCTGCTCCTGCACAGAAGGTTCCAGAAAAGCAGAAATCTCCCTGAGTAGGTGGCCCATTGCCTGTCACCCCACCTTATTTACCTGCAGAGCCTCTCACTTAATCAGGAACATCTTACTTAACCCCAGAACCTCTCTGAACTTGTGTCCTCCTCGGCAAAGCAGGGATGGGACCTGCCCCCCCAGGGGGTCCAATGGCATGTCCCTATAAACACGTGGGCAAGGTGTGGCTACTATGCCCCCCTCCCTTGGCCCAGTCCTCTCACTTCTCCCTTTCCTCTCCTTTTCCCGCCTCTGGCCTCAGCTCCCCTTCTTTTCACACCTTAGAATACTAGAGGGATTTCGATGAAATAGGCCACAAGATCCCAGGTGGCTGTCTTGGGCCCCCATGGCCCTCCCACTCCAAGGCCTGGAAACAAGCCTTTCTCAGAGTTGCCAACCTTCTGCCGTCACATACAAGGAAAGACAAAGCAAAAGTATAGAATCCCCACCCCGGGGAAACAGGGAGATCTAGTTCACACTAACATGTAAAGGACTACTACCAGATGGCCTTTCCACATCGAGTTTGATCAGATTGGAGGTGGGGAGCCAAGGAACTCAGAGATACCAGGAGTCCAAAGCAAGAGGTACCACAGGTTTAAAGAAAATGAGAGAGGGGAGAAGGAGGAAGAGGAGGAAGTTGAGGAAGAGAAGAAGAAAGAGGAAGAGGAAGAAGAGGAAGACAGATGACCAATCTTGTGGCCTTGGCCACACCTTCAGACCTATCTGACCCTCGCCCCACTAACAGCCCTGATGCCAATGAGACGGCGGGGCTCCCAGCCCGACACACCGTCCAGCAGGAGGGCGCTTCTCTGAGATCCCAGGCCCAGTGTGCAGCCGCAGCACGCCCGAAGACGGGGTGAGGGCTGCTGCTTCTGGCTCACCAACCCCTGGGCAGCCTGGGGAGGTCTGGGGACAGGTTCGGGGGCCCCTCCACCCCACACTGAACCATGGCACAGATTAAGGAGGAGGGCCCCGCCCAGCTCACCTGCCTGCTTGGAGGCCTTGCCCAGGGTCCCCTTCACAGTCCTGCAGTGGGAGTTGTCACCGCCACAGACCCCGCACTTGTCATCAGCCTTCATGGACCCCACCTCCTTGTCACAGCCAACGGGCTGCGGCCAGAGGTGAGATGAGTGGAAAGAACACTGCACCCGGCCCCTGAAGCCCCTGGCTCCCTCCCTGGTCCCCAGGCCCTGGCCTAGAGAGGAACCTTAGGCAGAAAGGTATCCAAAGACAGGTCGCCCACAGATTTGCCATGTAACCTGGTCTTGAACCCCGTGTGGTGACAATTCTTGACATCTCCTCTCCCCTTGAACGGACTGGGCAGTAAATGACCCCTTCTAGCACCCCAGGGCTGTGTCAAGGACCAAGGGGGTGTCCTGAGTGCAGCAGGTGCAGGCATGCTTATCTTCCTAAGGAGCATGGGACAGGGACGGAGCCTCCCTCCAGTCTCCAAGAACCAGTAGAGGGTGGGTGACCTGGAGGGGGCACCCACCACACACTCGCCACGGGCACAGAGGCTGTAAGGGTCCCGGTAGCTGCAGCGCGTCCCGTCATGGACCACCTGGTTCATGAACACCACGTCTCCCGTGTCTGCCGACTGGCAGATGAGCTCACACTTCTGGGTGTCTGTGGGGAGAGATGCCACGGTGATCCCCCCCCTGGGCTTGCAGAGAGCAGGTAGCCCAGGGCGACATCAGCCTGCCATCAGCCTGTGGTGCAGCCAAGAAGCCCCCCACAACCCCATACACCACCCCCCACCAGCTCTGCACAGCGGGGGATCACTGTGTGTGGAGCCTGGGCAGAAAATCCCTGCTCTGATGCGTGCTAATTAGTCACGTCTCCAGTCTCCCAGGGCGAGTGCTTTAGCCTCTCACAGCTTATTTCATTATCCCTGGTCAGCAGAGTGCCACATCGGGATATTGAGAAAAATCAAGTGACAAAATCATACCCGAAATAATAAGCCAAGGCTTAGTGGCTGCTTCCCAGGTATCAAAGCCTACGCACACCCTGATGTACAACCTGAAATGCTTTTTGTGAAACTAACTCGTTTCACCCCAGGGAGGTAGATTCTAGAATGACAGAGGAGGAAATCGAGGAGGAGAGGCCGCACGGTGATTCAGCAGGACCTGCCCCAGCAGCCGAGCACACCGTGGTCTGACCCTGCATCTGAACACATTTATACACCTCAAAAGTGGTGGACAAGCCAGGCAGGCGGTGGGCTGGATTTGGATTTGTAAATGGAGCGGCAGAAAGGGAGGGAAGAGGGTTCTTTCTGCTTCAATCTATGAAAATGTCCTCTTCTCTATCTGGGCTGCTGATGACCTAAGAAGGAGGTTCCAGAGAAAACATAAACACTTGCTGTGCTTCTTAGAAAAAGCGAGACTGGGGGCTTAACCAGCTTCCTGGAATTTGTCTAGAAGTCCTGGGAAAGTCCAGCTGCCCAGGGCCTCCCAGCCTTCCCCTCCCTGCCCCATTTTGCTACTGACCAGACCTGGAAGCCTTCCAAGGCCAGCCTCTGTCTCCCACAGCCCATTTCTAAGGAACCTGTCTGGCTCCTGCTTCCAGATCCTGAGCTCCCAGGCCACTCAGCCAGCATTCGGGCCCCAGCCTGGAGCCCGACACACACACTGCCTTGGTTTCTCTGCACGGGAGACAGGCAGGGTCTTGGCCAGTGAGACCAGGCAGGAGGGGTCTGGGAATCCAGGGGAGCCAGCCAACTTCCACGAAACCCCCTGCAAGGGTGTGGCCATGACAGGCCCCTGAGGTCCCTTTCAATTTGAGGATTCTGTCATTCTAAACATGAGCCAGGGAACATGGGGTCCTGGGGTCAACCCTGGGCTCAGAGAATGAGAGGCCACTCTCATGGGAGCTGTCTGGAGCCCAGGGCGGCATGGCAAGCAGCATCTACCGACAGGGAAACACAGGAGCTTGGGGCAAGAGATGGGCTCCGGGGGCTGGGAAGGGCCCCCCCCCAGCCTGAAGGCTCTAAGATGCCATGAACATGGGGCCCCACAGGAGTATCCAACGCAGACAGCAACTGACACCAGCACGGTCCCCAAACTCTGACCCTCTGCGTGAGTGCTGAGGCCTGTGTGACCATCCAAGGCAGCATGGAGGGGTCCCTCTGCCTGCCTTTCAAATCACCTCCAGTGACCGCTGGAATGGAGACCTGGTCAGTACCAGATAAGAACCTGGCATGTGATACAACTGAGCTTCTGGGGACACTGGTCATGTGAAGTGAGAGGTGCCTGAAGCCCTGGGAAGGGCTGGGAGATCCCAGGGACAAATTCCAGGAAGTGATCTGAGCTCCAGCCTCACTTTTTCTAGGGAGCACAGTGTTCCTGTGTTCTCTGGAACATTCTTAGGACAGATGCTCACCCATGCAGGCAAGCACAGATGTCTGAAAGGCACCAGCCCCAACTTTAGCCTGCAGGATTCTACGGGCATCCCTGGGAAAAGCACCCCCCACCCTGCCCCAGGCCACTTGTATCTGCAGGGAAACCGTGGTCACAGCATGCGATCAAGGGATGGTCCAGATGGGGACCCCAGGGTCACCACGCACAGGCCTGCACAAAGATCTGTGGCCACACTCATGATGGCAATGTCTCTTTCGGCACCTCCACGGATGGGAACACCTGAGGGAGGAACTTCCCTGGAACACACAGCCCCGGTGTCGTCAGGACGTGGGGAGTGGGCACGGGTCCGCTCACCATCCTCAGACTCGTAGGGGAGCCAGCTGTGCTTGGTGTTCTGGTGGGTGTAGTAGGAGTTCCGCTTGGCACACTGCTGGGCCCGAAAGTCCTCGTAGGGCCCGGGGCACTCCTCGCTGTTGCAGACCTGGTACTCAAAGGAGGGCCCTGAGCACAGGCGGCCTCCATAGGCTGGGCTAGGGTGGCACAGAAAGACCAGGTTGATGGGGCGGGTGGGGGCTTTCAGCTCAGCCAGCATCAAAGGGCTCCACTAACTTATCAAGCAACCCGCAGCATGGCCGATGAGCTGCGCCTTCCAGACCCTCTCTCCCCCTCCTTGGGGCACACATCACCTGTTCCACTGTGTGCCAGGGTGAGGGGACAGGCAGATGGACACTAGGACCGATTAACCAAGCAGTAGGCACTTAATAAATAACTCAATGATGTCTATTTGCATCCGCATCCATTTAATCTCATAATACACTAAAGAGTGGTCCAGGAGACTTGGATTGGAATCAGAAGAGCATGGCGCCCCAGGCCTGGCCATGCACCTTGATCAAGTCACTTGGCTTTGCCTGAATTTCCCTTTGAAAAGAGGGCCCATCGTACCTGCCTACTGGTGTCTGTAAAAATGATAAGAGAGGGTATGGGAAAGCGATCTACACTCTTTTCTCCATGAAGTCAAGAGGATTAAAAACTACTGATACAAGAATCCAAGGGCATGAGGTTAATCACACCCTGCTCACAGATGCTGGAGAATTACAGGGGCGTCTGCGATTAAGTGCTTAGCATCCTGTCTAGCCAGACCAAATGCTCAGTGTACTTTGTTAATAATAATTGTAACAACTATTTTGATATTAGCTGGTATCTATTAAGTGCTTAATCTCTGCTGGGCATGGTGCTGAGGGCACATGTTATTTCATTTAAGCCTCAAAAAATAAAACCAGCTATTATTACAAAGGAGCACAATGGACGGCTGCTTTGATCCAGGGGATAACTGCAGGTCATGACTGCGAGGTGGTAGAGCGGGGGTGCCACTGGGCCTTCCTGTCACCTTGGCTTTTGTATCTCCCACAGGTGAAGACTACAAGGAGGTCCACCTCGGCTCCATCTGCAGGAGGTCAATACAGCTGTCTATGAAGGCACGGCTGCTTCAGTAAGCGGTGAGCCTCTATTCCCGCAGGGAAGCAGTGGAGTGTGGGGTCACTACCTAAGAGGATGCTAGAGCCACTGTGGTCCTGTGATCTGCCCTTTGGCAGTATTCATCACACCACTTGGTGCCAGGAGGGAGCTGGGCCAGGCTCTGTCCATGTGAAAGTCTCTAGGAACAGCTGATCCACCAGGCAGCCTCTGCCAGTCCCCATCTCTCATGAGGCTACCCTAAGCAAGCTGCTTCGGCTTGGGAGATGGGGACCATGAAGAGCTGGGAAATTCTGAAACCATGGTGCAGGGGAGGGGATCCCACAGAGGGAATGAGAGACAAATGTCTCTCCAGAATGCTGAAGTTTGGGTAGGGGCACGAGGACCTTGTTAGAAAGAGGTAAGTTAAGAAAAAGGAAGTTCTGTTCCATGTGGCAGAAAATAAACTTGGGGATCATGTGCAACACATTTCATGCGGGAGGGGGGGCTTGATCAACAGTGTCTTGGGTCCACCCAGACCCTCTGGAGAATCTTCTATACATGAGAATTTGAGAATCCCAATTCCGAAACACTCACAAAAGTGAGAAATGATGGGTCACTGGGGAATGCTGGTGGGAATGACCTACCCCACCCCTGACAATCTTGGGTCCTCATCCATAGAACACACAGGAGCCATTCTCTGTCCCCCACCACCACCTTCCCCTCCAAGACCCTCAGCCCACCCACCAAGTGCACTCACGGGGGGTTGTCACAGCTCCGGCTGCGGGATCTCACTCCACCCCCACAGGACCGAGAACATGACCCAAACTTGGTCCAGGAGCTCCAGCCTCCATCCTGGCCATAAATCTGCTCCGGCGACTTCCAGATGCAGTAACCTTTGAAGCACCACTGGGGTGAAGTAGAGGGCACGAGGTCACCCTGGACCACTGCAGCAGAGCCTGCTCGGGTGGGTACTCAGGAGGACACAAGGCACAGCTGGGCATATGACACCATGGGAGAGCCCAGAAAAAGAGACACTGAGAGAGGAGCCGGGGGTAGACAGGGTCCCACCCCTGTCACCAGCTGAGCAACCTCAGACAGGGGGTTCACCTTCCTGAGCCTCATCTTCAACAGTACCACGGGGATAACTGCACCTCACTACAGAATTCAGTGCAGGGAGCACACAGAGCTCCAGAAATAGCAGAGCATATTGAATGAGATTAATGAGGAGAATAAATATGCAATTAGTTCAATCATCATCCAGGAGCAATAAAAGGAGGAGGAGACCAACCTTCCCAGGCTATCTAGATCTGATCTTGGCTCTGCACCTTGACTTTCCTTCCTGGGGCCACAAGCAGATGTGTCCCTGGAGTCAAGCTGGCCAGGGGGGCCTGCCCTGCAGTGTGGGCAGCAGAAGCATGGAGTCCCAGAGGCCCAGGCTGGAGCCCCAGTTCAGCCATGAACAGCTGGGTGGGCCACTATTCCTGCTGAGCCTGGGTGCACTCACCTGCTCACCAGGGCTATTGCAGAGCGGCAGCACCAGCCCCTGCAGAGCAGGAGCTGGGCTCTCCAAGGAGGGGAACGCCGTCTCTTTTGCTCTAGGATAATGTGAAGGAAACAGCAAAGCTCTCTGGGCCTTTCTCAAGAGATGAGCTCAGCAATTCTCAATCTTGGAGTCATGGGGTAGGGGGTGGGGGGCCCTTAAAACTCCAGATGCCTGGGCTTCCTGCAGACCAGCTAAGCCGGAATCCCCAGGGGAAAGGGCTCTCAGAAGCTATGGTGGGGCACGGCTTACAAACCAGAAAAGTCACTCATTGTGGGAGTCGTGCAACTTTCACCAAAATCCAATTTCAGAACATTTCCACCACCCCCAAAAGACCCTCTGGGTCCACGTGCAGTCACTCCCTGTTCTAGGGGTGGGGAGTTTAAAAGCTCCCTGGGTGATTCCAACATGCAGCCCAAACTGAGACTCACGGATTAACTCTTTATGTGAAATTGTGACCCGGGAGGGCCTGGGACTTTGAAACCACCTGGGAAAATTTAAGAAGCAGTAAGACGTGGAGCAGATAAAGCTGTCTAGGAAGGGAACCAACCAGGTTTGGAGCCCATGGGGCACATCCAGGGCTAGGGAAGCCCCATCCATCTGTGAAGGCACAAACCTGGGAGATGCTTAGCAGGGCCAGTAGGAGCGGGCTGAGCCTGGCTAGGGCAGAGGTCACAGGTCAAAGGGAAAGCTGGGGGGTGGGGCACTGGGCTCACAGCTGATGCTAAGCAAAAACCTCTCTGAACCATCCTGCTTTTTCTTGGCTCCTTTACTTGCTTTGGCCTGACCCTATAACCTCCATCTTGAGGCACGGGAAGGAGGCTTGGTCAGGGATAATAAGCAGCATCAGCAGGGCTGGAGAAGTTCAATGAATGGCCCAAGGTCACCAACACACAAGGGCAGGGCCAGCAAGAGAGCAGAACCCCAGCTCAGGGTCCTCAGACCCAGGAATGAGGTCCCCTGACCAAAGCAACCCTGGCACCCAGGCATGCACAAGGGAGCAAACACCCACCAGGAATATCTCAACACTGAGGGAGAAAGGGATAGCTTGGGGCTGGGAGTGGATGCCTGGAATCTTCCTTCATCCCCCGTAGGCTAATCACTCCTTATGTGGCCCTGACAAATTCCTTGACCTGCTTGGACCTCACTTTTCTCATCTGTAAAACGGGGCAAGCATTCCTGCTGACCGGTTATGAGATCCTGCTACACCTGGCCAACTGTGGAGGCGAAGGGCTCCCTGTGGAGGGAAGCGTAGCATGTGGGAGGCTGCAGGAGACTCCTGGCAGATCTGCTGCCCTGTCCTTTGGCACTGGCCCTCCTTCATGTATACACAGGCCTGGGGCCTCCAGGATCTGCACCTGCCCCAGCCAGGGATGTCCCACCCCCGGGAAAGCACTTCCACTGCAGACCCTGCAGCTACCTTGCCTGGTGCACACTCGGTCCCATCCAGCGGGGGCCCCTTCTTGGTCTTGCAGAAGTATGGGTTGTCCGGGTGGCTGCACCACAGCTGTTTGCAGGGCTCAAAGGTCCTGAACTGTGTGGCAAAAGGATTGGGTCACCAGGCTGACTCTCCAGCCCTCACAAGTTGTCCAAAGGGCAGGGGGTGGCGGTGGAGAGAGGGAGGTGTGGTGGATGCCCAGGAAACCAGAGCTCACACACTCTCAAGCTCCTCTCACCCCAAGTGCCACTGGCTCCCAGGACCCCTCTTCTCCCCATTAGGAGCAGTCCTCTCCTGGCTTCCTTTCCTTAATCTGCAGAAGCTACCTTGTCACTGACCTGGGACAAGAGTTTCAGGCTCTGAGGAGTTCTCAAATTCCTGTGATATAGGGGATGCTAAAGGGACACAGCTGAGGTTGAGGCCCCCATCTCCCTCTAAGGTGGACATCCAGCAAGGCCAGAGGTTGGTGATCGTGTGTTCCAGACTATCCTGGAAAGCCCCAGGGGCCTTATCCCTACCTGCCAGACGAGCATCCCACCAACACAGCATTTAGGCACTGAAATCCTACACCCTGTCCTTCCATCCCAAAGCTGTGCTGTGTCAGACCACACGTCCCAGCATGGTCTAGAGAGAAGGGAAGGTGACCACATATAGGGGCTCCTCGTGGTACCAAAGAGAGCCTCTGTCCCATGCAGGTAAGGGCCCTGAATACCCTACGTGGGGGGTACAAAGCATTGGATCACCCAGGCCTCCCCTTCAGAAAGTGCCCTGCCCTCCGATGTCACCTTATCAGAGCCTCAGCCAGGGCCACAGGTATCACAGTTTGGCTCTTTCCCAGGTGATTTGAGCTGATCTCTAGGCTTAAGGGCCTCCCCTCCTGTCCTGCAGGGTGAACCAGGGTTATGCTCCTGGTATCTGCAGTCTTGGGCATAAGGATGGGGGCGGGGGAAAGGACGTGACGTCCCTGGAGAGAGGTGACATGCAGGTACAGGGGTGCTCCCAAGGACCAGAACCTGATCTAACACCTGTACAGCTCCCCAGGTGAACCCCCAGGGAGCAGCCAGCCAGGGCCTCCCTCCCTGGGCTACTCCTACCATCTTTCCCAGGGCAGAGGCTGTTCAAGCCTCCTGAGTTACCTGTCCCCACAAGCAGACCTGGGCAGGGCCTGCGTCCTGTCCACCCTGCTCCTCCCTGGTGGCCAGCACTAAGCCTGCAGGCCATCCCCAGGCTGACTGACAGTCCAGGTGGAAGGTACCCTTGAACGACTAGCTTGGTTCAGGGAAGGACATGGCCCTGGCGTCCCTGGCCTGGCAGAGGCCCAGGGAATACTCACTGCCAAGCAGGTCTGGTAGCCGGTGCCGAAGTCAAAGCGGCACTGTTCATCCATTGAGTAGTCAACCCCGGGCAGCTCCGGGGGCTGCGGCCAGGTGGGTTCAAAGGGGTCATCGAGGAGGCAGTCGTAGGAGCTGCCAGAGAAACAAGGGGGTGAGCCGGGCCTCGGGCAGGAGGTCCCTCGCTCTTCCTTGTCAGGGGCTGGGATGGGAGCAGCCTGCAGGGATGGGAGGCTGCTCTCCAGGGAGGAAGGCTGACCCGAGCAGCCCTGGCCTGGAGCCTGGTCTCTCCCAGTGACTGCGTGGGAGGGCTCCATCAGCAGTAGGGCAAGGGACCCCAGACTGGGGCTAGGAGCTGGGTCACAGCTGGCTTAGGAGACCAGTTTGACTCATGTTAAAGGGACAGACACGCCATGGCCAAGATTAAAGTCGATTCGTGGATAACGTGAGGCTTTCTGTGCCCCGAGGGAAGGGGCAAAGCCCGGCCCCTGGGCAGGAAGTGCACCGGGAAGCCTGGCCAGGCCAGCTCCCTGCAGAGGTCATGACCGCATCCCTGCCTCCAGCTGCCCACCATGTCCACTCCGGCCCCTTCTCAGGCCTGGATCTCAACACTGGCCCTGCACCTGGACATACCCTCTCATCCTGCCCCTTCTCTGGGCCTCTGGGGAGACAGAGATACCCTAGCCTGGGCCTGGGGCTCCCAGCCTTCAGCCTGGGTACTGCCTGCAGGCTCGGTGAATCCAGAGTCCCAGGAGGACTGCCAGCTGACTCTCATTAGCATCTTGGGCGGGGCAGGGGTCTGGTTTTTAAAAAGAATTAAATGCAAACCATCTCCCATGCACACCACCCCCCTGTGATGCTGAGGGGGGTGTTTAGGTCAGGTGGCTGGAGAGGGCCAGGTAGGGTATCGGTGATAATGTGAGGGAGAAAGCCAGCTGCTCCCCAGCCCCAGGGGCAGAGGTGACCTACGGGAGGTAGCGGCTGAGCTCCAGCTTGCTGCAGCGGGACCAGTGGAAGCGGTGGAAGGCAGCCTGCACCAGGGGCGCCATGACACTGCCCAGGCTGGTCTCGTCCGCACAGCCGTTCCCCTGCCCGTCGTGCTCCATGCCGAGCCTGGAAGGCAGGGGACAGAGGGGAGGCCTGAGTCGGGCTGGGGTGCCCACCCCAGGGAAGACAGGCAGGCAGGCCGGAGGCAGGAGGCTTCGGGCCCTGGGGAGGCAGAGCCCTCTCTCTCCAAGGCCGCTGGGTGCAAAGCTGTGTCTGCCTGGGGCTCCTCTGTTCTTTCCTTCCAGCACCCGTCTCCCTCCTCAAACCCCACCCTCATCACTACCGCTCCCATGGCTAGCCCAACCCACTGCTGCTCCAGGACACCAGCCCAGGCCACCTGCCTGAGGGCTGTCGGCTACAGCACCCCCATCCTGCCACCATCAACTCGAGCGCCACGCACTGTCTCCCACCAGGCTGAAGGCAGACTTAGGTCAGGAGGTCTAGACCCTTCCCTGAGCCCTCCAGGTGCCACCCTTAAACTCTCCCAGACCCCAGACATACCCCAGAGCTCCGCGCTTGGTAGACACCACCCAAGATAGTTAAATTTTAAAACTTTGCTCTTTGTGGCTAGTATTTAATGCCAAAGCCCAAACCTCCCCGTATTTTTAATAATTCCAGGTGGCGGCATCTGGCCCGAACCCCCAGGCAGACACATGGGCCCCCTAAGCTCATCCTTGTCTCTCCACAGGGAGGAGCCTGTGCTCAGGAAGAGTGGGCGCCCCCTGTCCCCTCCAGGAAGAGGAACTCCTGGCTCCAGGGAGATGCAACCATAAGCTTCCACAGCAGGGAGGCACCTCAGTGTCGCTGGTGCCAGCCCCTGTGTCACAGTGGAGATAACCAAGGCCCAGGGAGAGGAGGCACCACTGCTGTGGGAGAAACGGAGCTGAGGGCATCCCTTAGCTGTGTCTCTGTGGATGCAAGCCCAGCCGCGTGGCCTGTGCACATTGCCACCTGACACAGGGGATGTGGCTCTTTCTTTCCAGTCTGTCTGTTGCGGGTGTCTCTCTCGGGCTCTCCACTGCAGCCCTGTTCCTAGAACAGGGCCTGCAAGAAACACCGGTTGAATGAATGAATGAATCTGCTATAAACAACCTCGGTGCAGAGCCCACAGCCAGCCCCGGCTGGCCTGCCGCCTGGGCTTAAGTGTGCCTGTTTGTGATGGGCTCGGGCCAGCTCTCCCGTGAGCACAGGGCCCTGGTGTGAGCTGGAACGGGTCTCACTAGGACCTTGAGGCGAGGGCAGATGGAGGGAAGCCAGGGACAGAGACCACCCAGAAAACAAGCCCAAGCCTATGACAGGGACACTGCCACCAAACTTCCCAAAGGCAGGGCCACATCTGGTGCCCAGGCCCAGAACTGTTGTGAGTCCCTTGTTCCCTCTCCCTCAGGGAAGGGCCTCCCTCTCTGGGCACTCTGAGACACCAGGCCTCCAGGGTAGACCAGCCTCGCGGGTCTACCTGGGACACTGGGTCCAGACCCTGATCTGGGGAAAGCCTTCCCCCACAGGATTCCCTGGCATTCATGACCCAGCCCCCAGCACAGACCCACCGGCACCGCCCACCTCCTGGTGCCACTTACACGTGGCCGGTCTCGTGCGCCACCACAAAGGCAGAGGAGAAGCCATCCTCGTGGTTGAGGGCACAGCTTCTCAGGGGGTGACACATGCCAGTGACAGGCGCATACCCTGCCAGGGAGAGGGGAGAGGGCAGAGAGAGAAATCATAGGCAGATGAGGCAGGACAGGCCAGGGTCAGTGCCCAGCCTGGCCACCTCAGGGACAGCCTGGCCTGTGCTGGAGGGTCCCTAGAGAAGAAGGATGCTCCCAAAGTCCTACCCACAGCAGAGCAGACCTGGGTAGCTGCCCCCACACCCTAGGGCTTGGTAGCTCCCTCCTGGGCTGGAGGCTCCTGCTGCCTCCTCCTCTAAGCAGAGGTGGGATTTCCAGGCAGATCTGAGCCTGCGCACACCCTAAGTCCACACCGACTCCCTCCAGTCCTGGAGTCAGTCAGTCACTCTGCAAACAAGCTTGGGAGGCCTTCTACGTGGAGGTAGAGGGTGACACTGTGTTAGACAGTATGGGGAGCCAGGCACGGTGCTGTGTGCCTCAGGTCCTAGCTGTTTGGAAGACTGAGGAAGGAGGATGGCTTGAGCCTAGGAGGGTTTTTTTTGGTTGTTTTTGTTTTATTTTGTTTGTAGGAGGGATGGAACTCAGGGGCACTCAACCACTGAGCTACATCCCCAGCCCTTTTTTAAGTTTTATTTAGAGACAGGTCTCTCTGAGATGCTTAGGGCCTCGCTAAGTTGTTGGGGCTAGCTTTGAACTCGTGATCCTTCTGCCTCAGCCCCCCAAGTCACTAGGATTAGAGGCGTGGGCCACCATGCCCAGCCAAGCTCAGGAGTTTGAGACCAGTCTGGGCAACATAGCAAGACCCCATCTCAGGGAAATAAAAACTTCTCTAGATATCATGGAGAAATCAGAGAAGAATCAAATCCATGCTCCTGCTCCCACCCCAGCACCCACCATTAAGGGAGGTCTGGATTCAGGAGGACTCGGTGATTAGATTGGAGGAGGGGTGGTGAAGTGCTAGAGTTAGAGAGCGAGGGGTGGGGACAGTCCTGGATGAGCTGAAGGAAGGGGAAAGGAGTGGCTTCCAATGCAGGGGTTGGGGGGAGCAGGGAATGACATGTGGGCAGCAGAGGTGGCTGGAGGACAGGTAAGATGTCTCTCCAGAGGTCACAAAATACTGAGTAAGGTGCAGTCAGGCCACACAGGAACCGTGGCAAGGCAGCAGGCTGGCTTGGGTAACGACAGCGATGGGCAACGCTTACCAAGCACCACTGTGTGCTAAGGGACTACTTTCAAGACCAGCCCAGGGGCTGAGCTGGGGCTCAGTGGTAGAGCATGTGCTTAGCATGCATGAGGCCTGAGTTCTATCCCCAGCACCACCAAGCCAAACAGAAACAAAAACTCCTGACCAGGTTATGGGCTGGGAGGGCAGATGGAACTGGGCCTGCAGAGAGAACATCCCCTGACCTAGAGCTGCTAAGCGCTCCCTCATTTGACACGGTCTGGGGAGCCTAATGAAAAGCTGCGGTGGGAAGGAGGTTTGGAGTCCCTGATGTCTTGGAGGTCTGGGACTGGCCACCTGCCATGTCATTACATACGGAAGTGTGTGCGCATGTGTGTGTATCTGTGGGTATGTACATGGGTCTGGGTATCCACATGTGTGTCTGTACGTGTACATGCTGCATCGTGCATCTGCATGCATGCATGTGTCTGTCCGCCACATTTGGGGCATCAGTGATTCGTATGAGAAGCCCCTGGATAGGCAGGGTGGGCTCACTTATTTCCAGCATTAAAACCAGAAAAAACTAGAAAGCCCTCAACGTAGGGCCTGGAGAGCAGTGTGGGCTCAGACCTGTCTCCCGACTGCAGTGGGGCATAGGCAAGCCTCTTCTCCATGCTCTGCCTCAGTTTCCCCATATGGGAAACCTGGGGGTCAAAGTCACACATGTTTGCAGATGCTCAGTTGTCGGTACACTGTCATGGACATTTCATGCCTTCCGTGGCCCTTTGAGCGGCCAGGGAATGAAGGAAGACATATAGTACTGTTCTCCCCATTTGAGAGTTGGAAGAACCCAGAGATGATGCTTGGAGCAGGGTGGGGCGTGGACTGCCTTTCCTGCAGGCCACATGACTGTCCCCCAAGTGCTCACAATCTACAACAAGGACAGCAGGACATGATGTGGGCAGAGATATCTTAAAAGTCACCAGGGGGGTCTTTAAGAAGCCAGGCTCTGGGACATGAAGCACCAGGCCCAGGGCTTGACCACTCCCAGCTGCCTGCAGGCTGAACTAAAAGAATGGGCACTTGAGTGGGAACCCTTTGACTTGCCCTGGTCTCCAAGGAACCACTCCAAGTTCACCCATCTGCCCACCCAGGTCCTGAACCCTCCCACTGACCTGGGGCAGCCCCCACAGGAAGCCCGTCCACCCCCTGGCCCAACCCACGGTACCTTGCATACCTGAGGGCCCAAAGTTCTGCCGGGTGAGGAAGATGACGTGGTCGTGGTGCTCCGCATGGCCGGGGTCCTGGCGCTGCTGGGAGTGCGCCCAGCGGCACACCTGTTCCAGGCTGCGCGAGGGGTTCCCCCGCTCGATCAGGCTCAGGGACTGCGGGGGGAGGGGCACCGACAGTGGAGTGGTCCTAGCCCGGGTGCCAAGGGCCACTCTCCCTCCACTACGGTGGATGCCCCAAGCAGGTCACAGAATACTGACTAAGATGCAGTCAGGCCACACAGGAACTGTGGCAAGGCAGCAGGCTGGCTTGGGTAGCGACGGCGATGGGCAAACCATACCAAGCGCCACAGTGCTAAACCCTGTGCTGATGCGGTGTGCGTTCCAGAGATCCCCAGCTCTCTGCACGTGGCTGCTCCTGGCACACAGCCTTCCCTGCTTCAGGGGTGTTCACTAGCCACCGCCGTCCCGTGCCCATGCATGTGTCCATGAAGAATGACACACGCTATTCCCAACCCCTCTACTAAGCGTCCAAGCAGAGCTGTTCTGAGTGTCACACGCACTACATTCACTTTCCCCTCTGGTCTTCACAGCTGCCCTTGGAGGGAAGTTCAGCTGTTACCCCATATGGACAATAAGTGACTGGCCTAAGAGTGTAGAGCCGGGGCTCAGCCTGTCAGGGCCTGCCTTGGTCAGTGCCTCAGTTTCCCTTCAGTTCCCCAAGAAGAGGGACCTCCCTCTGTGAGGAACCAGGACTGTCAGTTCCTCTCCTGAAGACATGGCAGGTTTCCTGACACCTGCAGCCTGGTTTCCCAGATGCTTGCCCACATGGCTGCTCCTACCCTAGCTCCAAACCCCACCTGCTGATAGGCGGGGCCTCACCTGGCGGTAGCCGACCATAACCAGGCGGACGAGGGCGATGTTCACGTGGGCCCCCAGGGACTCATCGTGGTAAATCTCATCCACCTGCAAGAACAAGAGTGCACATTCACCAGGAGCCTGCGACGCGCCAGGTCCTGGGCCCAGTATCCACTGGTGGTACCCCACTTCACCCCACCATGGCCTCATCAGACAGGCATTCCTATCCCCACTTTACCAGGGAGGAAACTGAGGTTGGGAAAGTTCACCTGACTTGCCCAGGGACACACAGCTAACAGGAGCTGGGAGTCGGGTCCTGGAGCACTCAATTCCAGTGCTGAGCTCTTTCCGTGATGCCAAAGCGAGTGTGGGGAGGCAAAGTGGGCACAGTCCCCAACTCAAGCCCCTGACCAGACACTCATCTTTCCACATCCCTGAAGAGGCCCTTCCTGGGAACCCTGGCTCGAGCCCCCTGGCCTTTTCAATTGCCACTGGAACAGCAGCTTTTCCCCTACTGCCAGGCAAAATCACATTCTGCTTGTTTCATGGAAAATATTCTGTGTCTTTACAAGCATGATAAATGCATGGGGTGTGCTGTCATTTCTGTAAATAATTCCCCAGATGGAGCTTCAGAGACTCACAGAGAAACGACTTGCTCAAGAAGAGACACAGCAATGATGAAGTGTCTCCTAGAGTCCTCAGTTCAAGTCCCAGCCCTGCCCTTTGTGAGTCGGCTGATTGGACACAACAGGGAATCCCTTAGAACCTCTGTTTCTTTTTCTGCAGACTGGGGATAATAATGGCTATCTCAACATCTGGAAATCACGAGGGAGTGGCATAAACCCAGAGGCTCGGTCAGCCATCAGCGATGGAGGCAGAGGTGGAGGCCAGTCTCTGACTCTTGCTCACATGGCTTGCTTCACAAGGAGCAGAAATGGAGTTTCATGTCCTAGTCTTATCACTTCCATCTCCCCCGGCCATCCAGTCATCAATTCTTTTCCACTCATAAGCAAAGAAACCTCACTTACAAAGGGACTGTTGTCCCCCAAACAGAGAAGAGCAATGCTTCCCACCACATGTATGTGGGAGTCCCACGGGGAGGAGAAGGCTGGAGGGGACCTGGAGACCTGCTCCCATGGACACACCCCTCCAGGGCCAGCCAAGGCTGGAGCCAGGCTGTGGGCTCGGAGCTGCAGCAGCAGAAGCTCATGCACCACGGAGCCCCAGCCCCAGCCCACTCTCCCAGTGTCCAGAACTGGCACCTGACCAGTTCATCAACGTGCGGACTCCACAGCAGCCAGCATCAGGCTTCCTCACAAACCTTCCTGGCGCCCGTGTCTGGATCCAGTTGAGTAATGAGACCAAAGCTTGCGCCCGCTGTGGGCAGGCAGCCCTTGCCAACTCCCCGCCACAAGGCAGGACAGACAGACCAATGGGCACAGGGCTCCTCCCACCCTCCTGCCCTCCCCAGCAGGAGCGAAGACTTCATGGGAACAAAGAGCCACAATGTGTAGAGATGGTGTCCTCTTGACCTGCCTTCCCAAGACATATCCTAGGAGGGCCTGCAGATCCCACCAGCCACACAGCAGAATTCCAACCCAAGGATGCTTGGCTGCTGGCTGAAATGATAATCCACCTGCAGCGGAGTGACATTCAACGAAGCCCAACCCTCCTGCGCTCCAAGGCTGGGACTAGCCTTCCTTCAACACTGAGGTGTGGTCAGTGTTGTGGTCCTCCCTGGTCTGATGTGCTCTGTTAGCAGACCAAGGATGCACCACTAACAAAACACAGAGAGCCACAGCAGAAGGGGCCCCAGCAAACTTCCAGCTGATTGGCTCACCGGGGCCCCAGCAAACTTCCAGCTGCCAGCTGATTGGCTCCTCTGCTGTGATGCTCATTGGGCTGTTTCCCCGCCCTTTCAGACCGTGGAGCTGCTCACTGGGGGACTCTTTTAGCTCCGCCCACGCGACCCAGCCAATCGGCCTCAAGAGCAGGAGGAGAGGGGGGTAGAGAGGCTTGTGGGAAGTCCGTGGTGGCAGTTGGGCTCTGAGGGAATTCCTGAAGAGCTCGTGTGGCATGTGTGTTCTAAAAATAAAGTTCGTTTCTGCTTGATAAGTGGCTCGTGAATTGTGCCCAGCCAGACTGCGGCACCTGTGCATGCCCCACGAGTACCTGAAAGCCCATCAGCTGTCCTGAACAAATGAGGAACGAAGAGAAGAGAGAGAAGCGGAGGAGAGCTGTCATTGGGACTTGGGTTAGGGCATCTGCTGGGCCTCTGCCTTCCTGCACATGTCCGTCAAGCAGGTTGGACCACGCAGACAGCTGCCAGGAGCCCTGTCACCTGTCAGACACCCTCTGTATCCACTGTCCGCCTCCACAGGTTCAATCAACTGTGGACTGAAAATCTCTGAAACACACTGTCTATATTGACATGTTCCCTGTTTTTTTCTTGCCATTATTGCTTAAACAGTGCACTGTAATGACTATTTATGTAGCATTTAAATTGCATCAGGCTTTATAACCTAAAAATGACAAAGTACATGGAAAAACTGCACAGGAGATACAGGGAACTTGAGCTTCCACAGATTTTGGTTTCCACAGGGATCTTAGACCCAGTCCCCGCTCCCCAGATGCTGAGGGATGGCTGTCTTCATTTCTACCCCTGAGCAGGATAAATCCACTCATCGAGGACTTCAGTGACCTTTGTTCCAATGGCCACCACCTCGAGCCAAGGACCGTGGTTGGTGGGGTTGGCCCTGCTGTTCCGAGTTCCCTGCTCGGGTCCCTCTCTGGAGCCCTGGAACACTCATCTGCACTCAGCTGTCAGCTCACCCTGGCAGCAGGGACCTCCCTGGCTCTGGCTCCGCTGGAACTGCTTTGGGGTTTGTGCAAGCCAAGGAAGTGGCCGGCCAGGGCTGCCGTGTTGGCGGGCACTGTAGGGGGCAGCTGGCACACGGCGCCACAGCCAGGTGTGGCTAGCTGGGACGCCCGGAACCCCAGCCCCTCTGGAACACACTCACAGGCTGCCTGACGGGCTCCAGCCTGGCTGTGCACCCAGGGCCTGGCCGTGTCAGCCACAGCCTCCCATGGCTGCCCCACAATGCCGGAGGTAAGGCCAGGGAGCCAGCTCCGGGGAGATCAGCCAAAAGACACCCCCACAGGGCAGAAAGAAACAATGCTGCTGGTTTTCTTGCCTCTCCTCCCTGAGCCAAGTTCGAGGTCACCTCTGCTAGGACACCCCCCCAACCCCCCAGGTTAGGGTTTGACACAGTATATTAACCTGAGATAGCCTCTGGGTGTGCACTAGAAAAACAAGCAAAGATCAGGACTCTGGCCAGAGAAACAACAGCAGAGCGATGGGGTTGAAGAGCAAGCTGATATTTCCCAAGCACTGGCCCAAGTGGCTTTGAATACAACCTCACAACAACCCTATGGAGAGAGGAATTATTCCCACCTCATAGGCAAGATATCCAGGTGAAGTAACTTGCCCAAGGCCTCCCAGCTGGGAAGTGGAAAGGCTAGAATTTGAACTCAGATCTCTGTGGTTCTATGGACCCTATTTATACTCAGTAGATGTTCCAAACCTGGCTGCTCTGGGCCAGATCGACTAGTATGGGCTTCCTCTGGCCTGGGAAAGAAGAGGAGCAAAGCTGGGAGGAAAGCAGGCCCTTCTCCTGGTCTTGGCCAACTGTGGCACCAGCAGGAAGCAGGTAGAAAGGGGCCTTCTGGGGCCTGGGGCCACGGGGCAGCCTCCATAGGTTCAATCAATCTGTCCCGCAGTGCACTGCTCCCGAGCCACGTCTCCTCCACCCTACTCCACAATTTGGGGTTTCCTGTGAGGGTGGAAACCCGGGAAGATCCCGACCTCAAAACTGTGCAGTCCAGCTGAGACAGGAGGGCTGATGAGGAGGGATGTGAGATTAGGGCCCTGGGACCTGGGGACAGCCTACACAGAGGCAAAGGTGGAGGGGAAGGAGAGAACGGCCCAGGGCCGGGAAACAGGACCAGGGGACAACTCAGCAAGGCAGGCAGGAAGACAGGCTGGATCCCCTGCCTCGGGGCTTTCTGGAACCTCCTCCCCAACACTTCCTCCCACTATCAAAACTCAGCACACAGACTTCTGGATCACAAACGGCCTCCTTGTTTCCAAATGTGTGTGTTGGGGGGTGCTCCCCATTCAGCAAACAGGCTACACGCCAGACAAGGGAAATGGCAAGGACACCCCCCCCCTGCTCCCCACAACCTGCATGGCCAGGAGCTCAGTCCTGTCATCCTCCTCCAAAGGGAGATCAGACTCCATTTCTAAGGCAAAAAAGCTGGGGTTTCACTTGTGGGGGTAGGGAGCAGCCAGGCCTCCAGGGGGCGCCAGGGAGGCAGCGGGCAGCTCTCCTCCTACACCAAGGCTGGGCTCCTTGGCAGAGCAGGGGCAGGGGGAGCCTGGCAGAGAACCCAGAGTTCCCTCTGTCCTAGGGAACATTGCTCCCCAGGAGCTACAGAGCAGACCGTCCTCCTCCCATGTGGTGGCCAGGTAAGGCAGGTCTCAACCAAGAAGGGAACAGCGGGTGGGGACAATGCTAAGAAAGCGAGACCCTGGGGTATTAAACCACCTGTGCTCACACAGAAGCAAGGACACTAACTGACACCAAGGGCTGGCAAGCCTGCAGGGTGCCTCCCCTGACCCCCACAACCTGCCCAGAGCGCTGTACTCACCCTCCTCTTTTCAATTACAGGTTGAGTATCCCTAACCTGAAAATCCAAAACCTGAAACACTCCAAAATCCAAAACTCTTTTGAGCACCCGCCTGATGCTCCAAGTGGAAAATTCCACACCTGGCTTCTTGTAACATGTCGTAGTCAAATGCAGGTGCACTCAAAATGCTGTATAAAACTACCTTGGGGTAACGTGTCTAAGATGAATCTGAAACATAAATGAATTTCGTGTTTAAACATGCATCTCATCTCCAGGATAGCTCATTCTGTGGATATTCCAAAACCCAAAACACTCCTGGTCCCAAGCACTCAGATAAAGGATTTCCACCTGCAATAAACCCTTAACTTGAGAAGAGCTTTAGATTCGTAGAAAGTTGGTGCAGAGATTGCTCATGCACT